TTTACCAGAATTCCTTTAGGATTTACCAGAATTCCTGTAATCCTACAGAAATTCTGGTAAATCCTAAAGGAATTCTGGTAAATCCTAAAGGAATTATCTGATTCGTCCATATTCAACCAGAAATTTTTTTCAGTGTAGCCTTTGATCGGGAAAGTCACACGTTCCCGAGCAATAATTGCACAACGGCGGTTTTGACGGTGTAACATCGTTACAAAGTGTCACGAAAGTAGCCGGGAATGATGTATGCGCGTTATCACGATCGCGATGCGTGCGATCTGCAATTCCATTATCAGCCAGTCCCGATAAGATCGTTACGAGCGAGTTATCGTACCTCTCGACTGATATAAGCGTTTTTATTATATTATGTCACAACTTCAGTATTGCAATCGTCTCACCGCGACGCCTTACCGCGAGTCGTTCCTCGCTTTCGCGTTCGCCAATAGAGCTCGGACTCCAGTCGTCCGCGGTCGCCGGGGCTCTAAATTCAGGAGGGTATGCCGCAAAGCAAACGCCATCCTGTCTCAGATTAGATTCCGTTTCTCAGTTTTGATTAAGAAAATAAAAATTGGCAAAAACAACTAGCGAGCTTCGATTCGAGTAATCGTCCGATAATGTCAAAATAATTTGTTCAAACGGTGTTTCTCTGTGTGCCTCTGCAGTTTTAAACGTTACGTCTATTAATTTAACAGAAATCCCGCTATTCCATATTAGGATCCTATCTCATAATAGGGGACTTTCCTCTATTAAGTAGAATTACTAGTAAGTATCGAGGGTAAAATTTCAAAATACTCTCATAAAGTTCTTCAAAATGCCGTGTTGTCCCACGATCGCATGATTTTCAGGGTGTTTTAAGAGAAACTTCGCTCCGTGTACTCTTCTCCGGAAATTACGCTCTACGTCACTTTTCATTTCTATATATTATACAATATATATAAATATGTATCGTATATTTTCATTGTATCTTTCCCTCCTTTTTATCGAACTTAACTCGCGTCATTATCCACTTTCGCGGCGTTTTTCTTCGCGAAACGTACTGTGTGCATTCGCTTAGCTCCGTATCAGTCCCTCAGAGGTAAACTGGCTTTAGTCACGAGACCTAAATTTTAGAGAGGAGTCACTCGAAAGTTTTTCTCTTGAATGCACCGTCACTTTGTACTTTGGTGTTTCTTGGTTTCTGACTGTACGTTAACATTTCCATTAAATAATGTCCTTTTCTAATGTTTTTAAAAGAAAATAAATAATTGTCGTGTACAAAAATTAGGGTGCATATTTTATTATTGTTGTAAGAAGCAAGAAGACTCATGACACATTATGCAGCGGCAGATCTGTAAAACCGTGGACACACTGTCCCACCAGTACAATTTGACAAGTTAATTCGCAACGTGTAAGAATCTCGTTTCGAAAAGAATGGGACTTGACACCTCGTCTACCGTTCGAGACACTGATACTTTTTACGCTCGCGAAGGAAGACTTTAATAAACAGAAAAGGCGCTTAAGAAAAAAACCGCTATCTAAGAAAAGCCCGTCTCTGAGGCCGCCTCTGGGGTTCATCGCTAAAACATTCGGACGTGCCGAGGCGAGATCCTCGGGCGAGGCACGCGCGGCGCCTTAAACGTGTCGCCCATGGCGGAAGCGAATCTCTCTCTCTCTCTCTCGCGCGCACGCGCGCGCACACACACGTGGAGCCCGCACGCGGATGCTGGGCGAGGAATGCGATATTCGCGGCGAGGCAGCGCCGACGGGCGAGAGTACGGAAAACCTGGAGGCCTGCCAATCCGCGCGATGTCCAAGCGACCGTGCCGCCGCGCCGGCCAGAGGACTTTGCTCCTTCGGGGTTCCCTGACTCCACGTCCGTACCGCGTACCTCGAAACCGCACTATCGCGTCCCCGGGGCATACAAATCGCACTAATCGCGATACGCGCCAGGAAAATTACGGGGAGGGGGAATTGGGTATCTCCGGCGTGACACTCGGAGACGCGCGGAATCGCCTCGAAAGGGGGACAATTTTTGGAAAACTCGCGAGTATCTCCCCGAGTCGAGTATTTCATCCCGGAATGGACCTCGGAGTCGGTGCGAAAATTCTCCAATTTGAGGCCCAGATGAGTAAAGAAATTGTGTTCCACATTATTCTAACCCTCAAAGAGAATGTAATAAAATATTTCACCCTCTGTGAAACCTCTTAGGCCCAAGAGGATCTACTGAACCTCCGTTGATTGCACTCGTATTGGCCTCTTTACTGCTAAAAGGGAAATAGCGACTCTTTTCAGGCCAATCTGAGGTGAAAAGTTCTTAGTGCGACCTCATTGCTCAAATTCCAAAATTATACGAGGCTAAACCGAGGCCAAAATATCCGATTCGGGTCCGGACGAAATTATCCGTCCCGACGCCGCCCCCGTAATTGGAGATCCCGTGCCCCTCGAGATCCATATGCATATCTCGCGTTTAGCACTGTTTTATCGTACGCGCGGATCGCGCGCGAACGTTATCTGGGTCTGGGAATCGAACAGCAGCAATTAACGTTTAAATGCATGGCGATGAGTAAGGAGCCTAAATTCCCTCGCGGAGCGGAAACGTCGTGCCGGCCCGACTGGCTCTCGCGATTTAAGGGAATGCCGAAGTGATTCTGCACCTGTTGCACTTTTTGCATCCACAACTGTCAATTCGTGAAAACATGGGTGTAACACACAAATTATAAAACTAACGTGTACAGATCGCAAGTGTCCCGCTATTCGGACGAAATCAGAGAACAGCGTGGTATCATTGAAATTTATTTTAGAAGACTGACAAAAATCTCGAATAAGTTATAACTTATTTGAGTGAATAGATGTTTTTTTTTGTTAGACTTCTAAACTTAATTTCACCGATACCGTGCTGTTCTTTTATTTAGTCCGATTAGTGAAACGCTGTCTGTACACAAAAGCCACATAATTTGTAGAGAAAAGTCCTCTATTACGAGATAGGTTTCTGATATGAGATAGCAGGTTTTCAACACCCAAATTCAGTCACAAATCTTTTTTCGCAACGATTACACAATCTAACAATTAATTTTTCACTAAACAGATTTCGCTCTAAGGACAATAAATTCATAGTGGAATCAGCTGACGATGCCTATTAATTTAACAAAAACCCCGCTATCCCATATTAGGATCCTATCTCGTAATAGGGGACTTTCCTCTATATTGCACAAATGTTTTCATGAATTGACAGTTTCAGGAGCAAAAGATGCAAAAAGTGCAGAATCACTCCAGCATCCCCTTAACAAAACTGGCGAGAGAAAGGCGTATTGCGGAAATCGTAATTAACGGGAGTGATGGCGATAAATTAGCATGATCGACAAATCCCGTGGCGTGACGCACCTCACGCATTCGTTGCACACATTTATATGCATTACATTTGTTTCTTACATATTTATTTACGGGAAAAAATTATTTCATATATACGTTTACCCCTTTAACAACCTTCTACATATATCTCTGGCTACGTAACCCTTCGTGGGGCAAATTTTTACCTCGTGAAAAATAGTGAATTAAATCTATAAACTCCATACACCTTCGACGGCGAATAAAACATTATTCATCGTATTTTCCACAGAAACAATTGGAGGAAAGTCCTCTATTACGAGATAGGCTTCCAATATGAGATAGCAGGTTTTCAACATCATAGTTTAATCCCAAATCTTCACTCACAACGATTACACAATCTAACAATGCATTTTCCACCAGACAGATTTCACTCCACGGGGAATAAATTAACGATGAAACTAATAAATAATGCCTATTACTTTAGCAAAAACCCTGCTATCTCGTAACAGGAATTTATCTCATAATAGGGGACTTTCCTCTATATACAAAACCGCGACAGCAACAATCGAACAACAGGCGGAGAGATTTCGTGCGTGGGATACTTTTTTTTTTTACCCTACGAAGGCAGTTAAGGGACACGTGTATAATAAAGTACACATTTTCTACGTATTGCACCGTGGTTTCTCAGGGCGTACAAATGGGACGCAGCGGATCGCAAATAAGCGCAGATCTCTTCGATTCGATATTGGGTTCAGGGATCGAAGCGGCGGCCGGCCGCGAAACTATTGACCTTCTCCGCCGCGTTTTCCGCATTCCGCGCTCGCGTGCTCAGGGTCAGTAATCGGCGGCGCCGCCGACAAAACTTGCGCCACCGCGGGCCCACCACCGAGAACCGCGGTAAATCGTGTGGCGCCTTTAAAGAGAAAAACGAGGGAAGAGGGCTCTCTCCTCTCTGTGGCGATCTGAACGCGCGCGCGCGCGCGCTTCCGACCGCGATTCCGCGACGAAATCCCAAGGCCCGGGGATAAGTGGCCGCGGCGCTTATCTCGGCGTGGAGATAATAAGCCTGACGCATCGGCCGTCGTGAGTAGAAAGGCTGACCGGTAACTGACCCCTAATGGCTACTTAAGACAGCCGCGCGAAAAGTCCTTGAAGGCGACGCGAAAAGGAGCGAGCCGAACAACAGAATGTAATTACGATAGCGCGGCTAATTGCAGTTTGTAGAACACGGTGTCGCGTGAGAATGTCCGACCGTTTCCTTCTTACGCAAAGAGTCGCGCACCGAAACGCCGACGGCAGGGCGTCTCGTGGGAGATCCCGACGTCACGCCCGTATTCCGTCGCGTAAGTCGCTCGCCGCGAGGGAGGCGGGGAACGGGGGGGGGGGAGATCGCGGATTCCTCAAACCGATCGTAGCCGTGCGGCTACCCGCGGGCGGTTCACGTGCGATTCACGGGCGTGTTTCTCCGAATCCCGATCACCGCTTTCGCGACTCGGCCACGGGAGCGAACGGTATGCGGTCTCTTCCCCTCGCGATCCGCCGTCGTATCGGATAAAAACAATTTTTTGCCTGGCAGAAGAGGCGAGCGACGCGCGGCCAGTCGTCGGGGAATTTCGCGAATTCGTGCAACGACTCTTCGCGACTCGCGCGCTCGGTCCCGCAAGGACAGAGGGCAAGCACATTCTGGGGCTACTCACCGAAAGCAATTCCTCGGCGCGAGACGGCGCGAGCGATCGCGGGACGGGAAGGAAGAGGGGTAGGAGGTCCGACGGCTCGCTGGCGGTTATCCTTCCGTAGAATCCGGCGAGAGAGGCCTAACCCCGCGGCGACGAGGTGTAACCCTGCGCGTATCCACGTGTGCGCGACGTAATCAGGCACACCGACACTGTTAACACACCCGCGAGACGCGCGAACGCCGCCCGCGACCCGCTGACACGTACGACCCGTGCGCGACTTCGCGGCAATGGAATTTTGTCACGTCGCCGCGTATTCTCAGCGAACGGTACCGCAGACGCTCATGTTGCTGCACCACGGACGGCGAATTACCATTCCAGCTCTTCCCTCTCCGCGGCGCGCTCGCTACCGCTGGGCGTGGTTTAGCGGCCGTGGGCACCCGAGCACCGGCGGCCGCGCACGAGGCGCGCTATTGGCCGGGCGACGTCGGCGCAGGCGCACCGTGCGTGCGCGCGCACGGCGTCGACCGCGCGCGCGAAATTTGAATCGCTCGTACGATCACTGAAATGCCACTCGCGCTTTCCCCTCGCCGAATTAGCCTTTTCACGACTGCGTTGGCTTTTGGTCGTTATTGCTCCTTATCATTGTTTAATTTTTTTTAATACCTGGGACAGTAGGATACCAAGGAACTGTTGTGCTCCGATTTCGTAAAGAGTTGACGAGACAATACACACCGCATGTGTAGGATAAAAAATATATGGAATATATTTATTAACGACCGCTTAAAAGTAAATCAAATCTACAAAAATTTTAAGTACATTTAAAATGAAAACTTAACAAACGCATGACAGCTTTCCTCTGGTTATATGCATCCAATTGCATATTCAATATTACATTTTTCTAATTTCCACAGATAACATTGTAAAATTTAAAATAAATACAACAAAATTACAATGTAACGTTTCTAGCAATTATTTTAGTATAATTTAAAGTATCTTATTAAAAATATGTTAACAATAGAATTTCCGTGTGAAATAGAAAAAGACGCGATCGATTTTCTCGACACTTTCTGCGTTTATCGCATAACATTAAAGTCTAGGAGATGCTTGAATATATTGGAAACGGTCTGCATTTCTTAATCAAATCGACGATTGGTAACAACATGCAGTCTAATTAAAAAGACAATCAAAATTAAATACCGCTCGCACCATACGTAATCCGATGGTCATTGTACATACTTGAACACCACTATCTTCCATTTTTATTGTGTCCAACTGTCACCGAGTCCGTTCACAGGAAAATAGTGGCATTAATAAATTATCGATAAATGTTAATTACAGCACTCGATTCAATATTATATTAGACGGTATATAGTTAGATTGCCCAAGAAAATTGTAATATTGAATATAGGATAAAGGCTAATGTAACGCCAATGTTACGTATCAATAAATGTACGGTATTGCATTTACATTATTTCCCAATGTTACGCCAATACTTTGTGCTATCCGAGCTTTATCAACACTTTATATGTATTATAATTCAACTACAGATTTAATATTTTTATGTTCTTTGCAAGAAAGTAATTGCAAAGTAACGATTCGTTACTTTTTGAGTAACTGTGACGCTTTACTTTTCAGAAAACTGGGCCATGGCAGCTCTCAGACTTCCTCCCTGTTTCCGGTAAGAATTAAAAATGCATTACTAAAGCTGCGGTTGACTTTACCGACTATCGCTAGTTTATCGACTAATGGTTCGTGCTTATACGACGTTCTTTTATTTTTGGTATTTTACGGACCGCCAAACTTTGAATGACTAAAAAGCGCGACGAAATCACAGGGAAACGTATAATTAGCGAAAAAGCAGGATTCATTAAATTTCCAAGAATTTCTGAATAAAGTTCGAAATCTTAAACTGTAAAAATCTAAACTTTCAAGTAACGAGTAAAGTATAAGACACACAATGGAATTAGATAAGAGGCGACGATAATATAATACGTCGAGAATTCCAAAAATCTCTAAGATTTGCACAAATTTAAATTCTCGGAGGCGGGCAACGAAATCGAATTCGCAAAAGTCAGCAGAACGTGGCGAGGAAACAGGTGGAGTATGTGTGTGTGTGTGTGTGTGAGACCGGAAAAGATAATACTCAATAAATATATACTTAAAACCTAATCTACAATGTGTACTCTCTGCATCTAGAAACATTCTATTTTAGATGCGTTCGGGGAGCGTGCTTTTAGTATTAAAAATGTCTTCTATTTACATTCGATATTTAACGAGTGACAAAGATAGACTGATGTTTTCAGGGCTAATAGCGTCTCCCCGAACGCCGCCTTTATACAAGCAAATCAAAATGCTTAAAAAAATTAGTCGACAATTTACGATTGTACAATGTATAATAATGTACAATTTTTTTCAACTTGCACAAAGTTGGAGAAATTGAGTCGCAAGTAGTAAGTAAAAACCTTTGTAAATAATTGAGTCGACAAATTCTGGCACAATTCATGTATTTAATTATTCACGACGTTTCGATCAGTAATACTGATCCTTTTCAAGTGGATGTTATAATAAGTCTATTGGTTGTTACAGCAACAAATCTGGAAATTATATGGGAGTAACAATAGAGGTTTAAAAGGTTGAAAGAGAAATTACAAATGAAACTTTTAAACTTTCAACCTTTTAAACCTCTATTGTTACTCCCATATAATTTCCAGATTTGTTGCTGTAACAACCAATAGACTTATTATAACATCCACTTGAAAAGGATCAGTATTACTGATCGAAACGTCGTGAATAATTAAATACATGAATTGTGCCAGAATTTGTCGACTCAATTATTTACAAAGGTTTGCACAAATTTTTTGAAATAATATTTATTATACAAAATAGAATGTTTCTAGACGCATAGATCATATTGTAGATTAGCCGTAAGTGAGACACGTTTAAAAATGTTTTTATGATAATACAGATAACACAAATGCCGGTCATTCAGCGAACGTGCGGCACTGCTAACGGTATTCTAAAGATGTGTCTGCAACGCGGCGGCCGCCTTATGTCAGTTTAACACGTATTTCTCTGTGCGTCAGTGCGATACGACGACCGCGATGGATATGCTTCAGTTACATCAAATGCCGAATAAAGTACGTGCGTATCTTTACAGGCTCGATCGCTTGACAGCGTAAAAGTAGTACGCGTCATCAAAACATAACCTCCCGAGCGCGAGTCACTTCACGTATAACCGTGCTGACTTGCAACAAGTTTGATAGACAATATCCACGCTTCGGGCTGTAGAGGCTCGGTGCTAACGACCGTGCGCACGAACGTTTTCATTGCGACATATTTTTGTTCACGTTATTTTACGCCGCACGTGACTGAATATTTTATAGATGTAACGTTTTTTTTTTTACTTTCAGAGCGAGGCAGAACTGACTCCGGAGGAAAAATGGAGGCAAGTTACAAGTCTATTATAGTTTTACAGCAAAGATAGTTTCCCGGTTTTTTTTTCTTTTGATTCATGACGTTTGCGATTACAACGTGGAGAGGTGCATTAATGAAACTAACATCGAACCACTTCTTTCAGGGTGGAACACATAAAGATGCACGAGCAGCATCGAGGTCACGAATCTATGCACACAGAAATGCTGCTTATATTGTTGGTGACGGTGACGGTAACACAGATTGTACTGGTCGAATGGAAGAAGAGACACTTTAAGTCCTACCAGGTGGGATAAAATATTTGTCTTTATCTGATGCAAAATATCAGCGGAACTGTACGTTAATGCAGTACATCTTTCGTGCAGCTCGTAACGTTAGTAGCTATGTGGATTATTCCATTTGGAATTAGCTTGAAGAACCACTGGTGGAGATTTATATTTTTATGGCTTTTATCATCGTGTATAACAGGTCTAGTAGTAAGAAAAGCCATACAGAGACCAATAGAAGGTACCACACCTAGGTAATACCAAGTAAAAATTGTTAACGCAAAGATCAACGATAATCGTAAAACGATGAGAGTTTATTTCTTTGCAGACTAGTGTACAAATGGTTTTATTTTATTTATAAGCTCAGCTACGCGCTGGGTATAATCGGATATATTTTAGTCGTATTTACATTCGTTGGTCTCAACATCGTGTTTAATGTCAAGCCTCACGTTTGGATGGATTGGGGCATGTTGTTCCTATTTTACGGTCTTTACTTCGGAGTGTTAGGAAGGGACGTTGCTGAAATATGCGCTGACACGATGGCGTCGCACATTGGGGTATGTGTCGCATTGCATTGTTAATTATCGCGTTGCGTACATGACTTTGTTACCGTGTAATGTAAGTAAATGATTTTCAGTATTATACCCCGGACAGTATCCCGACCAGGGTTTTGGAGCCAAATGTTTGCGCGGTATGCGGAAATAAACTTCTAGTTTCCGAGCACGAGGAGGGCGTGATCGAAAATACGTACAAGCTTACCTGTGAACACGTTTTCCACGAATTTTGCATTAGAGGCTGGTGCATTGTGGGGAAAAAACAGACCTGCCCTTATTGCAAAGAGAAAGTCGACTTGTCGAAAATGTTCCGCAATCCGTATCCTTTGCATTCGTAATTTGACACGAAGAATGACTACTAATGACGATTCTTAAATGCCTATCTGTTAAATGCCTTAATGAAAAGTACAGTTGGCAACGGCCGCACGTTTTATATGGCCAATTGCTGGATTGGATAAGGTGGCTGGTTGCTTGGCAACCGTTAATTTTGTTTCTAGTTCAAGGTATCAATTGGGCTCTGGGCCTTGAGTAAGTAACAATGTTGGTTGAAAACCAACTGCTCTCACATGCATCATTGTTGTTATTGCAACGCTAAAGAGAATGATTAACTTAGTTCTCTGATCAATACTGTGTTTGTATTTTTGTATATGCTGTTATTATTTTTGTTACCCATAAAAAAAAGTTATTAGATAGGGAATGTAATGCCAGTGAGAAACCAATAATCCTACTCGTGTCTAAACGTTAAAATTAAACGGCTTGTCATCCTGAAAGATATGTGCCTCCGTGAAAGTAGAGCTAGAAGAAATCACGACGAGCATATATACACATTTTTCAATCAAAAAAATACAATAGAAAATTTTATCATATGAGATAAAGTCTTTTTCATAATACAATGAAAAGATATTAAAGCTCAATAAACGCGTGAAATTTAGATGTAATTGAAATATATTTCTAAAAATGTATGCCACATATTAAGTAAATCATTAAGTGTGACTTAACGTAAGGAGCGATCAAGTGCGTGACGGTATTTTTGTATTTTTCTTCTAAGGAGGAAATCCTCGAAGGAGGAGGATATCTACGCATATTAAAAACGACTGTTTTAGAAAACAGTTGTTGCATGTGAAAGACATGAGAAGGATTAAAAATCATTATACCATTGTATCATTATCTTCAATATTGCTCTATTTAAAACTAATTAGTCCGTCTCAGCAGTTATAGCAGTTAAATATCAGATTATAATGACGTATTAAATTCCTACTCATTAATTTGTTATTTATATTTCTTGCAAATGTGTTCTAATAACTTCCTACTAATAACGAGTACATTCTCCAACATTCCTAAGCCCATAATGGGTGCTGCTTCCAATATTTGTTTTTCGTCAGAAGATATGCAGTTACAAGAAAGTAAAGAATGCATGTATATATTTCGTAAACGACTGCTGTTCGCAAGATGTTCATATTATGATATAGTTTATGTGAAAAAAATATTAGATTGTATCGAATACAGTCGACATGAAATGTATATATTTCTTTTTTTAAGCCGTTGAGTGACATTCTCTGATTAATATTGTTTTGCAATTTACCTATGAGATGCGAGACAGAAATGTATTCTATTGATAACACACTAATTATTTATGATCTCATTAGAGAAATATGTATTCATCGTTTACAAATACTACTTTTTAATTGGAGAATATACATCAACAATTTCGGCAAATTTGTAGAAGCATTTTTCGAAAATTCATGTTTCCACTAATTTGTGTTTTCTACAAAACCTTTACATGTAATAACATTTTTCTGGTAAACATCACAAGTTTCAGCAGCATTAAAAAAAAGTGGAAAACAGAGTATTATAACACATATATGTAAATCCATGGTTGTAATATAGTTGCACTTAACTCTGTTGCTAGTCGCTCTAATTATTGAAAGATTTTAAAGTGTAATCTTAATTATTATTTATAATATTTCTTTTCTTAAGACCGTTCTAAGGGAGAATATCTGATATATGTTACATTCTCAGCAATCAGTTGGGACTTTTCGTTCAGTTTCTTTTAAACTGGGCAAAAATCTGTAATGTCTTGTATTACTCGATTACAAAGTACAGTCAAGGGGAACGTAACATGTATCTCTTCCATCTTGTTTCTACACTCAAAATAGTGTGTAATACAACCGACGATTTGTAAAGAACGAAGCCACTGTCAAGAATACGTTTTTTTTGCAATAAAATTATGTACAAAACGATATACTTAGCTGTGGTATTTCAATTCCTCTGTATTGCGTCTTTGTTGGTCTGATAGTTTTTATAGAAGGAAAAATTCGCTCTTTGAAAATTTTCAGGAAAATAAACCTATAATATATAAAATGGTTTAAATTAGAATAATGTGGAACGTATACCTCTACTTATTATCTCAAATCAGTTTCAACCATTGTTAACTCTCCCACGGCTAAATCTAATTTTAAAAAGTAGGAGAATCAGCAGTTTTTAACAATTACTTGTAATAAATTAAAGATATTCTGAGATTGATTTCTAGATAAGAGTGAAAGGCAATTTCTTGCAAATGTTAAAAAGAAATTGTTTAATCATGGCAGAGTTAACGTGTATCTTTGCTTCTTGTAAGCGACGTAGCAATTTTCCCTGAGCACAATCAATATATCTTGTAGCCTACACGTAAGAGTTTTAAGTGAATCTGCAATTATCTTTTTTTTTTCTTATAATTTTTGCAGAATAACAGATACGAAGGAGGATCAGCAAAAACATTCGGTGTAACGGATTAACGATTACCGCATGCTGTATTGTTATATAGTTTCTCTGCTAGCACCGGCAGCTAAGTTCCTATTTACACGCTCCAAGTTTTTCACTAATTGTAAGAGGTCGCAGATCTGAGGAAGAATGTGATCTCATTGGATACGCATAGAGTTCAAGATAGCTGTGTATATATACATATGTGTGTATGTATGTATGTGTACGTGCGCGTGTGTGGGCACAGTAAGAAAGAGAGAGAGAGAGAGACAGACAGAGAGATAATGATAACAACTTGTCAGTGATGTTACTAAAAGATTTTAATTAACTTTCTCGTTATTATCGATAGAAAAACAACTTTCATCACATCACGTATCCATAGGTACTTGTCAGACCATGTCGGACCCGTCGCGAGAGTATTATATATAATTTGTATTTATATTTATATACATATATATTGTTTCATTTGTCTATAAACCTAATCTAAGACTCGTTCGCGAACATTTTTATGGGATGAAATTACGTGGGGTGAGGCGCGCGTGGGTGGTGAAACGCGGGGAGGAAAATGAGGTCGGATGACGTAACAGAGGTCAGAGGGAGGGGGTGAGAACACACTTAACAACGAATATACCCTTCAGCGGATCCGATGAACAGAGGTGTTAACGTTACTCGAGACGTAGTCTTTGGCTTTGTTGGATGGTTCAGACGCCACGATACGACGGGAACGTCGGGATGGGTCCAGGGGCAGACATTCACAAACACGGGGAAATTTTATAGATATATTTATTGAGTACTTAGCGTGTAAGAGTATAGAATATATGTTACCTTATTGTTAAATATCATTACATGGTAAATATATTTATATATACGTATACATACACATGTGTCTGCGCGCGTGCACATGTATATATGCGTATACATATATCTCACGATGTAATCTTTAAAATAAACCTTGCGCGCGGGCACGCGCGCTTGTTTACGTGTGTGTGTGTGTGTAAGTGTTTAAGAGTATTTACATAATGATCGCAATTAACTATGTACAAGTTTACGAAAAAACGGAAAAGTAAAGTACAGACGAACGGGCGAGCGTTGCGTATCGGCCGTGCCGGTGATCGCCGGTTCGCCGGTTCGAGTCCCCCCATGTGCTATGGGACTCCCGAGCCGCGTTCACCGTCACGCCAATGCCAAGAATAGATGCCAGTAAAATTTTTCTTATTCTCCTCCGTTTCTCCTCCGTGTATAAATTGACCGTCGTCCTTATATGAAAGTATAAAGGTCGCTACGGTGAGATGATTCCTTTTTTTTTCTTTTGCGGGCACGGGTGTACGAAACTACCATCGCTACGGATAATTGTAGGTACCCTAATTAACAACATCAATGTCGCGTACGATTGTGGCTTTTCCCTTTTTTTTTTTTACGTAGCAGCACTCTTTTCTTCACCTCGCCGCCCGCGAGCGATAAAGCGGAGGCTCCGCGCGGATACGCTTCGGATACGCGCTCAGGTCGAGCGCGAGGTACGTTAAAAGCCTAGGATATAATTCTCGCAACGCACACGTGTGATTCTCACACTCTGGATATGGAGCTCTCTGTTTTGGACCTGTCGATGACTCTCGGATACGGCGTGACGCGCCGAGCCACGTGCGCGGAAAACGCGATCGCCACGTGGTCGACGCGCGTCCAAGATGAGGCAGTCGTCGCGGCAGTATTGTTACTCGTGGCCGAGGGCCTGCAATCCGCTGGACGCTACAAATGCTTCAAAACGTCCTTCTTCTTTTTATCAGAAAAAAAAGGATAATAAGAGCGCTTCAAAGCATTCGTAGCGTAGTGCGGACCGACGTTGACCCTTCGACGTGTTTAGCTGCATCCGGAAATGTCGCTCGAGTGCCCCAGTGTATCATTTTATCCTTGTTTACCATTCGGTGAGCATCAAAGATAAAGCGATACATTCGGGCACTTGGGTGATGTTTCCGAACGCAGCCTTACCGTATCCGAAATCTCGCGAGGACTCCGTACCGGTCGCGGGACCACGAGAAGCGCTCCGTCGTCAACGGAACGGAACGATATATCATTCTTTTTCTGTATCGGTCGTATCGTATATGTACAAAAACGAAATATCACGCGACCGCCGCTATTTCGCGGTGACGTATAGAAAGAAGCGCGACGAGGCCGGTGTCTCTCGCGGCTCGCCTGTTATACATTATATATATGTATAAAAAAAAAGCGCACGATTTCCTTCATTTCCCCTCGCAGTAACTATCGTTATAACGCAACTCGCATATTTATATATTTATATATATATATATATTAATTTATATATCTCTTTCTCTCTCACGCGCGCTCACGCTCTCTCTTTCAGCTTCTCACGCATCCTTCCTCACGCTCTCCTCACTTTTGACATATTATCGTCGTCCCTCGTTCTACCGTCGGACTTTCAAACGGCGTCCAAAGACATACACGATAATTACAAAGTATTGCTTTTCTTTTCCTTAGTCGCGCTTGTCGATCGCGCTTGCCGACCGTAACAATAATAAATTTTGCACCCTCCTGCAACGAGGAGACCGCTCGGGGAATCCCGCGGCGCTCCGTTTTTCCCTCCTCCGACCCTTCGATTCCGCAATGTCGCCCACGAGGTATTTGGGGATTCGCATTCGGGTATGATACATGTATCACGGGTTTCTCGAGAATCTCCCGGTGTAGACTCCGAGACTCTCTTGGATCCGTTTTTGGAAACATCGGGAATCGAAGGAGCGAGATCGCGCTTTTGGCGAACGCCACGTGGTCGCATCGAAATTACATTTCATTGTCGGAATTACTAAACTTGAAGCTCCAATGTCTATTTCCACCATTGTGGATCAACTTTAATCTTGGTTCGACTTTTTATCTTTCTCTAGTTCCAAGAATTAGAGAAAGATCAAGAAAATTTAAAAATCGCGTATCGACAAGTTATTGTGCGGTCGACAATCCGTATCGACGCACAGTTTCTGAAAAGTCGAAATAGACGCGTAAACAACATCTTAAAAAGTTATATACACGTTATTGCGAATAGTATTATCACAGCCCCGGTGGTCGAGCTGGCTAAGACGCCCACGGATTGTAGGGAGGTCCCAGGTTCGAATCCTGGCTGGGGTAATATTTTTCGCTATAAGAATTTTAATTGCCAGACACGGTCGACAAAAATCACCGATGTTATTAATTTATAATTACTGCTGGCGACTTTAAGAATATTCTTAATAAAAGATCAAGAAAGTTACACCGAGATTATAAGGTAGAAGTGGACATAGACGCTTCAATGTTTCTCTTTAGAATAGCACCTTTCGTATGGACTACAGTAATAACATGTCCGGTTGGTTTATGTGAATTCTGCCGGATAAATAATCCGCTTTGTGAGGCGCGTGGATAAAAGCGCCGAGGGAAAAACCTAGATGAGAGCGGGACTCACCCGCGGCCCTCGCGCCCGAAGGAAATATGCGCTAAGCGTAAAGTTAACTCGAGTACAGGACTTCTTCTCTTTTCCTAAACATATCGTATCGTTTTCTGTTTCTTTTTCTCTCTCCCGTGTTATTTTTACGTATCGTTTTTTTTGCAAGTAGACGAGCACACATAGAAAATCGCTTGCAACGACCACCCGGCCGGCCGCGGCCGGGAAACCGCTGCCCGCATGCTGAGCGTCCCTACGAACTACAATGCGCGTGTCGGATAACGGCGTGTCAATGGACAACTCGGTAACAAAAGCGCCTACGGGATAGCGTGTCCCCTCGGGCTCTCGCCGGAGCCGGAGGAGATCGTCAAGAACGCGATATCGAGGGGACGCGCGTCGCCCAAGGTCACGTCCGAGAACATTGTTGGAAAGGCGATCTCATTTAATGTTAATCCATTATTATGTATCGAGTGTACTTAGGTACTCTGAGGTAATGGTCTGAAACATTGTCATGCGATGCCTTGATAATATTCTTGATATAATATACTATACAAGCTTGTACTTCAATGCTACTTTGAAAACGCCACACACTGCTCTGCGGCTTGCGAAACCAACTGGAACATTGTTGAAAATATACAGCTGATAATATATTATCAAGCGCAGTTTTTGACAATATTGTACCATTTTACAAATTGCTGCTGTAAAATAATATCCGCTGCTAAACGGTGGGATTAATATAATGGTTAAAATAGATCTTTTCGATAAAGATTTCAAAAGAGAACAGAGTATCTGTTTGCCGGAGGATTCTCCAAATCAGAGAATATTGCTCTTTTCGGACTTGATAAATTCCCATACCGAATCTACCACAGTTACGTTACGACGGAAAATATTTGTCGTCAAATTTAATTGCTTTAGAAATACATCCGCTTTAAATCGCCCGTCGACGGTGACGCGAGAGAATTTTAAGACTTTCTCAGTGTGTTTCACGGCGGAAAAATCTTTCTTTCCCTTGAGTTAACATCCGAAATGATATTAACGAATCGAAACGCACTCTTGAACAATGTTCTCCGTCGTAGCTTAGCTCGGGTCGCGCGTTTCTTCTGAATTGGATAAAGCTGAACCTTTCAGTTACCGAGAGGCTCGAAAAATTCTGCTTTCCACCGCCGTATTTTTATAATCTCGAGCAAATAATTTTCAACTCTCAAGTGTTAGTCTAACGTCTCGGGCAGTGGAGCGACAATGAAAATCACTTGCTCGAGATAATAATGTCGAGGAACCGCTCCGAGGCAATTTGACTACGGTTTCGAGGAGTTGACGTAGGCGAGCCTGTGTATTCGAAACCGGGTCCCGAGGCTTTGATGGTTGAGCAATTTTCCGCGTCAAAGCTAGCGAGTTCTCAACCTTACTCTATTTATACGGGGGAAAAATAAAATTTTGCCTCTGCGCCGACGGTTTGACATATGGAATGAATCACAGATCGACACGTCTCATCCAGCCTCGGGCTCCCCCTCCGAAGAAGCCGAAAAGAATCTATCAAACTCGAGACACTTAAAACAGAACGTGTCGCGAAATAACAAGAATCCTAGCGGCGTGTCTGTCAGTCGTTTTTACAATATAAAACATACACGATTTCTATCGATTTGTCTATTACTTCGTAAAGGCGATGCGTGCGAGAGAGATATGGGCAGAATTCTTCCCCCCCGTAAATTTGATCCGGAAAAACGACGTGGGTGTAAAGATGTGTGTGAAAACTGAGTGTTGTGAATCCAATGAGGCCCCGTCGCTAAAATCCCTTGCGATTTCGCGGTAGAAAAATTTTTCGTGAGACGCGAGGACGTGAAGACTACTTTCGCGGAACAGTGGCGTGTTGTCGGCTATACACAACAGATATGTACAGCGATGTTACTTGTAAGGTTCACTAGCACACTTCTTTAACTTTGTTCGCTAAACCCCACGTTAACTCGTCAACTAATACGTACTTTTTGTAGTTATGATTATGTGTATTTTTACTTTTTTTTCCTTTTAATCATATAGTCTACGCGGAACACAACGTGGTGGAGCTCCGTTGGCTCGCACGTTGGCTCACCGTGTACCCCTCTATATATATATATATATATATATATATATATATATAATATATATTATGCGTTATGTTCGTTTTTTGCATTCTTTACTTTCTATTAGTCGGTTACTTCATTCGACCCGAACCACAGACTTCTACACTTTTTTTCCCTTATTTATCCAATATTGATAAACACCGACGAGTTTCAGCTATATCAGTTACAGAGGAGGGGCTAAGGTTGTGCCCTGTAAAAGATAGGTGAATTAAGATGAATCGAAAGGGATTGATTTCGGCGAAATATATGTGTATATCTGATCTTCGAGGTCAGGAAGAATTGGTCTTAAAATTGCGTTATATAAAAGCTCGGATTCGGTATTACAACTTAGAAGAAAAGAGAGGCAGTGACGGTGTGGAATTGAATTCCGTATAAGGAAGAGAGTTTCACGTTTTCAACGTTTCATAAAAATTTCTAATTTCTTTTTCCTCCCGATGAGAATCGAATGGGCACGTATTAAAGGATATAGAAAAGAATTCAATCATCGCAAAAACCAATTCCCTATATTCTGAGGATTTAGGAATTTATAACTTGACGAAACGAATCTCTCTGCATACATCGATTCTTGTTAATCCAACTATTTTTTGCCGGGATGCTCTCTTCGGCGGAGCGCGGGGGGAGGGTGAGGTTCTTTTTCACAGGGCGATCCCACATACACACGGTTACATAGGACTTCTTCGACGACACAATTCAAAAAATAATTTTTCATTTTTAGTAGAAAGATAGGCGGGGCATTTTCCGTACAATGGTAATATTATCGTTTTTTTCCCATTATTATTATTACTCTATTTATTATTCTTATTACTTATCGTTATCGTATATTACTATTTATTTTTTTTATATTATTATTTCTTCTGGACATTATTACTTCGACGCATCCCGTTACGACTGTCGCTCGTCTCGTCTCGTCATGTCGCGTTACGTCTCGCTCTTTATTAAGTGACGATATCACGTCGCATTAAGTTCTTACACGTTTACGTCGTACGATACTATTTACACGTGTCTACGTTGTCTACGACAAATCGGTAGATTCGCTCATACCTCAGGCAACCACGATCAACATTCATCAAGTTTGAAATTTATCTACGAAACTCAAGATACTTGGGATTGACAAGTGGGGCAGTACGATAATTCTGAAAATGATTCTTTTATGAACTTTCAGTGATGTCGATTTGTTTTAATATCACTTCTTTAAAAAAGTTTCGCACCGACTATTGCTTTTATTACCGGAAAAGCAGTGTGTCTTCCCACTTGTGTGAAATCTTGTATAAATTCCACTTACTTTGAACATTAAAGAAATTATATTTTTCAATATAAATCCCGCATTCTTTATGGATCCTAGGGCCTCGATAGATATCGATTCCAGATGCCGCATTTATACCCATTCAATTAACGCGTATCAGCAGAATCAGTGAGATAACAATCACGCTATGCATCCGGCCGATTTGAAGCGATAATGTGTTTTTGTTGTGTATTTGTATGCCAATCGTGCGTAGGCCTGGGCGTCGAGATTTAACGTGAACCGTCCGTTTCGTGCGAACGTTGCGTTTCCTCCTGACAGAATCTCTCGCGTTATTTATTTATTTATTTTTTTACCGAAAAGATCGCGACGCGTCCGATATAACTTCGCGACTTACCCCATTTCTCGCGTTTGAACATATCACGGGGGCACAAGTTCCTATACCTTCACATGTGTACGCGTGTATGTGTCATGTTCTTTCTTTCTATACATATAAAAAAGCGGTATCGACAGTTCCACTTGAGTTTACGATCGTTCTCGCGCGTTACATTACGATATTTTTATCTACATTTACCATTAAGAATTCGAGTAGCTATATTTACAATTGCTTGTCTCGCATCTAGTACACCAATTTGCGCCTTGTTAAAAATATCTGCTGTATATCTGCTCTCCTTTGTCTCTTTCTCTCTCTCAATCTCTCGCTTTCGTTCTCTCTCAATCTCTCTCTCCCTTTCTCTCGCTTTCCCTACGGCGTCTCGCGACGCGATCTACAGCGACGTCCACGGACAGTTTGTTCAGACGCATCCACCCCCCGGGGGCGGATACGTCCCGATCAAAGATGCGAGGCGAGAGCATCCCGAACAGAGAGCGCGAAATAACTGGACGTTCGGAGAACGTCGGCGTATCTTTTTGTATTAAAAATCAGGCTCTCGCCCCGTATCTGCCGACTTGGACGTGACGATCCTCGCTACCGCGTGCGTGCTCACGCGCGTGTCTTGCAGACCCTGTTGAATGACGTCGGCTCGAGATCGTTTCGGCCGACGATCCGAAAAAGCCCAAGACACACTCTCCACCAGTCTCCCACCCTCCTCTTCGCGAAAAACACTACCGGATTTTCGTCGCGGACGGCACTTAGAAAGTTCACACGCACGCATCCTCGTCCCTTCGATACGCATATCGGATCTCGCCACCCCTCCTTCCCTCCCACCCTCTCCCACGTGTCTCTCTCTTTCTCTCTCTTTCTTTCTATAAACTAATCACCATGTAACAAGCTTTATATTCTTCATTTCGTTAATAATGCGACTAGCTTAATTTTGACACTTGGCGACCCGCTCCTACACCCGCCGTCTTCGCACGCACGATTGATCGATCTAGGAATCTAGGATAGATCGCGATCGCGTGGACGCGCTTATGGCACATCGACGGGGTAGGTTTGCACCGGACACGCGTCCGTGGTCGCTCGTGGTAGATGATCGCGTCTCGACGACGAGCGCGGGGAAGGAGAAGAGGCCGAGAGGAGGATCGGGGAGAGAAAGGGCGCGACGTCGCCGGCCGCTCGCCCGTAAACTGCAGTTTAATACAACTTTTGCAGCGGCAGGATCGATTCTCCGTCAACGCGTTGCTCCCTTTCTCTCCCGTTTCACGGTGCTCGCATCTCGGATTCACGCGCGAATCAAGTCCCAGGTTATTCGAACCCGCGTCGTGGTGTCCTCGAATCACGAGTCGTGCCTGTGAGTCCTGCTGCGCCTGTTGCCGCTCTTCCGCCTCTTCCTCTTGGTGTCGCGGGTGAACGCGACGTTGCCGGGATCGTCGGCGAGCTGCGGATACCTGTGCACGCTGTGGATGTCGACGCCCTCATAGCCGTCGACCGTGCCGCGGCTAATCAACTCGTCCTTCTCCTCCTTCGACCAGTCGCCCCTACCCTGGAAACCGGCTATCACCAACTGCTTCTCGATCTCCCAGGCTCTCTCGACGGCCCGCTTGTGCGCATGCTTCAGAATACGATGCCGCTCCTGCTCGGGATCGGCTCCGTACTTGATCACCACAGCCGCGTCCGGGTTGTGAAGCCTCAGCTCCTTCCACGTGCCCGCGCCGTGCTCCGTCGTCTCGTGCGTGGATACGTTGAACATGCTGCCAAGGCGATGGAGCTCCTCCATATCGTCGCGGATCTTCAGCGCGTTGTCCTTGACGAAGTAGAAAACGTCCTGGTCGTGTACGCTGAAGTGTAACGGCAGGAAGTACGAGTTGTTGAATACAGACGTCACGACGTCCTGCACCACGCTGTTGACACCGTCCACCACGCTCACCAGAGCTCGACCGCCGACGCGCGACACCAGGATACCTTCGCCGAACACCGCCCGGCGATGTGCCACTCGCGGCAGTAGGTTTCGTGTCTTCGGTTCCAACTTCAACAACGGTTTGGGAACGAAACCCAGATCAGAGAACTTCTCTTGCACGCGGTTCACGATGCACTGCAGACCGGACATCACGCCAAAGTCCGGAGTCAGTTGCGGGGATGTGACAGTTGCGCTCGGCTGGTACACCATTTGTTTCGTGTACTCGGAGCCGAGCATCATCGAGATGTCGTAGCCGTAGAGCTTCAGCCAACTTCCCAGATCCGTCATGTATTCGACGTTCTGCTTAAAGTTGATCGGATCGTTATTACGGAAACGATAGATGAAAATGTCGGTCGGTGTGGTGAGTTCATTAGCCATTTGTTCCCAAGCTGGCGTCATCCATTGACCGACACTCGGGTCGTACAGTCTCTTGTTTAGATAGATCAACTTGGTGTTGGGATCGAAGAGACCTCCGTGGAAGTCGATAGGCAGATAGAAGTCCGGATTGGTGTCCTTGATGATCTTGCCGAAGGGAGTGCGCCGCATTTCTTTGATGAGATTGCCGTTGGTGTCGAAGAGAACGAGAGGCGAGCCATTTTGGTCCGTCGCGACGTAAAAGCGTTGCTCGGACGTCTCCACGGTCATCAGGAAATCGCGCGAGTCATAGAGGAATCGGAACGTCTTGGACAATTTCGGGAAGTGCACGTGCGTTATCAGATCCGGAGTCTTTGGATTCGCGTAGAAGAATTGGGTGATGTTCTCTCGGTCGTCGTTCATGGACACCAGTCGACCACGGTCGTCGTAAAAGTACCAGATCTGGAATTTCTTGTGCTCCGACGCATGAATCAGCTGTCCGCGCGAATTGTATCTGCAGAAAAGAAAGAATATCACATATTATTTAAAAACTATTTTCAATCGATATTCTGCAAAATAGTTTTCAGCAAAATTTATTTCGAAAAGAATAGATTTTCATATGCACATGGCATAATTTTAGTTGTTCTAATGGAAATTTTTATAAATTTATCTTAGAAATAGAAACAAAAGTCATCTTAATATTATTTTAATTTGATATTCTTAAATTAATTCAATAAAAATAGAAAATACTTACCTGTACTTGTGCTCCCCGCGAATCACAACGAAACCGCGTCCATCGTATGAATTGAATTCAACGTCACCGTACTGGACCACTCGATCGCCACTGTCGTAGCCCAATGCGATTTTCTCGTTATGCTCGGTTACGCCGATCACATTGCCGTTCTCGTCGTACGCGTACTGCCAATTGTTCTCCGTGTCCGCTACTTCCAGCACATGACCGTCCGCGTTATACGTGATCTTTTCCATTCTGGACCATTCTTTCTTCTCCATCGACTCCTTCCCAATCGTGAGCTTCCTCATCTTGATGCGATTGCGGTTGTCGTATTCGAGCTCCATACGGAATACGTCGAAGGATCGGATGTTCATCAGCACGGTCTTGACGCGTCCGTGCTCGTCGTAGTCCGTGACCGTAAAGAACTGTTTGCTGCTGTCCTGCATGACCGATCTGTTGAAGAGGTTTCTGTATATCCTGAGATCGCCGACGCCCTCCAGTACCCCGAGATTCTGGTTGTACTTGAGACGAAGCTGAGGTAGCTGTTTGCCGTTGATGTCGACCTCGATGCCGGATATCCGCGCGTTACCGTCGTACTGATAACGGTAATGAGCGTTATCCATGCCGCTCTTGCTACCAAACTTGATCTTCTCATCCTTCACGATACCGGCGTGATATTTGTATTCGATGCGCATCTCGAAGTTCGGCTCGTTGATGTCGATGCTGCGCACCAAACTCGACGGTTCTTGATAAGTGTAATGTATCGAGGAGAGTCCTGAGAAAAGAGATTCGTGATTTGCGATTAACGGATTGCGTCTTCAACATTTTTATCATGTTTTACAAAAATTAAGTGTAAACAAAAATATTTCTTTCAATCGCACCCAGTAAAATTTAATTGAAAAATAAGTTAAAATAGATAGTATTTTATCAAAACTATATCAGAAAGAGCCACTTACCGGCAAGCGTGGTTTCGAGTTTCCCAGCGTGATCGTAGACAAAAGCGACCTTTCCGCTTTGATGGGGGTATACCTTGGCGAGAATTTGACCGTCGTCGTTGTAAAGAATCTCGTATGGATGTCTGTTCATCGGTGAATAATACTGATACTTGTAAAATCCGAGAGAAGTTTGAAGGGAGAATGTATGAATGTGTCCTCTTGGTGTGGTCAACGACTGCAATGCTCCTGCTTCGTCATATTGAAGAAGATAATCGCTTCCACGCGGTGTAGTGACCTTCAGCGGTAGGAGGCTGAACATATCTTTGAAAGCGTACACCATCGACGTGCCGTCACTGTACTTGATTTCGTATAACCGGCCCGATCTGTCGAAGCCGTAGGTTTCACTGATGTCACCCCACGTCCAGCTTGTCAGTCTGCTGAATCGATCGTATTCTAACTCGACGCCGGCAAAGATACCGTTTCTCGGTCCCCACTTGACCGGTCTAGCCGTTCTGTCGTACGTGACGTTCAACAGTTCCATCCGATCGTCCATGAACACAGCCACGGTGTTAGTCTCTCGATCGTATTCGAGTGACAAGAGGATCTCGCCGTTGACACGAAGCTTCCTGCCGACCTGGGCGATCGCCTTCGTGTTACCGCGATTCTTATTTCCTTGGATCTTCCGGAGGAAGTATCGCCATTCGAAGCGATTAGCCAAATCCCCGGCAATCTCCGTTCTCTGTTTAGCTGGCACGGGATAGCTCTCGCCCAGCAAAGGCTCGAGCTCCGCTAGAATTGAATACGGCATTGAATCGGTACTGACAGTATGAGCCCATGGTGTCACTCTCCCGACTGAACCATCCGCGAGAACCGTCGTCCTTTGTTCGGCCTCCCCGATCTTCGTAACGACGGACGATCCTTTGATCAGCATCGAGATGGGCTTCCTGTTGTTTTGTCCGACTTTCACTACGGCACCTTTCAGGCTGAGATCAAATGTCAAGCTGATCACCTTACCCGTGGGAGTAACCGCGCTCGTCAGTCTACCGAACTCATCATAATTATAGACGTAACTACGTCCGGTACTGTCGAGCTTCGTCTTGAGTAAGCCTGTGGGACCGTGGTAGTCGAAGGTAACATTATAATCATCGGGCGTGCTCAATTCTTGCAACATTTTCATCCTGGACATTCTCAGTCTGCATTTTTGTCCCTTCGTGTTTTCGATCGAATTTACCTGACTACTATAATCTCTGAGCAAGAAGACCTTGTTGCCAGCCGCGTCCGTCACCGTACTGAGCTTACCGTTGCTGGTGTTGACATTATAAGTAAAGAGATACACGGTATCGCCAGTCAAAATGTTCTTCGTGGCAATGTGTTGGCCGAACCGGTTGAACACGTAGATCTCCTGTGTGTCGGGCGCATAAATTTCATATTCTCGCGCGCCGCTCGCGTCGGGAATGCTTGCCGTCACCGAGCGGATTCGGTAATTGGCTTGGTCGCCAATGTGCACCACACCATCGGGGGAAACAGCCACAGCAGATATCGTGTTGAATTTCGAGGTGGATGCCAAATAATGATCGGCCTCGAAGCAGTCACAGCCGCGCTCCAAACAATTGCACTTGGATTCGGCGCCGGCGTACGGCGATATCTTACCGTCGGTGCCGATCACGCGAACGCGATTGATCCTCTGCGAATCGCTCTCGGCGATGTAAAGATCACCCGACGGACCGAACGCAATACTCTGCGGCATGACGAGGGTGGCATGAGTCGCGAGTTCCGTGTCGAACGAGGCCGATGGCGAAGCGCAGTGAAGCGGACGACCAGCGACGACCTTGACGCGACCGTCCGGTGCCAGTTGGAGGACCATATGATCGTCGATCATGTGCAGCGAGTTGTCCAGAGGATTGATCGCTAGTTCGGTCGGCCAACGGAGATGGACTTCCTCGACGTTCAACGTACCCTCGCAGGGTATGGGCTTCCAATGCGATTTGTGCATGTGATTGCCGATCACGGTGGTGATAATGCCGTCCCTGTCGACCATTCGGATGTTCGTGCCGTCAGCAAAGTATAGGACGTTGTCCGCAGAAACAGCGACACCCTTGGGATAAGCGAGTTTAGCGTCTCGCGCGAGAGCACCGTCGCCGCAGTGAGCTTCGTCGCCGGGAAGACAACGTTCTCCGGAGCCCACTACCGTCTCCCAGTTGTGATCGGGATCCGTGTAATCGTTGGTATTGCGAACGCGAATAATCTGATGAGATTCTGGATCCGATATGTAGAGAACGCCGTCCAGAGGGCTCAGAGCGATGTGATAACGATATGATACTCTAGTTGCGCTGAAAGAAAATTAGAAATTTAGAGTGAAAGTTCCAAAATAAAAGAGTTATAAAGAATTATTGTATAAACAGCATTGGTTACATACTTCAGTCTGACTACAGTTCTAACTGTTCCATCGACGAGGATCTTCCTGACTAGATTGAAATCACCGACGAAGATGGAGCCGTCCGCGGCAGTGGCGAGAGCAACGGGTGCCAAGAGACGCTGTTTCGAAGCTTGCCCGTCGCAGTCGTAGCAATCCAGCGGTCTTTGATGACCGTCTCCCATCGTGGTGAGGATGACTCTCGGCTTGTGCTTCAGATAAATGTTCGAGCCGTCTCCCTTTTGCAAAATACCCTCGTGGAAGTTATATCTATGATGAATGTCCAGATTCCAACCGCCGACCTCCGAAATAGACATGTCGTGACCGCTCAACTTGGTCGTCTGCACGTCCCAGATGATGTCCTTGCAGTCGCTGTACTCGTAACCGACCTTGACCATAGCGGTCGTCACGCCGTAGACGCGTTGACGATAAACGTTCAGGCGGTTCCAGGCGTAAGTAAACTTGATCACGGGATCGGCCTCGAAGGTCTTCTCGAAGAGTATACCCTCGATCGTGATCCTCAAGTGTATCAGATTCAACGCCGGCGGGATGACTTCCGGGGTCAGCTGCAGTTGTATGGTGGACAGGTAACCGGCCGCTCGGGAACTGTGATACACCAGATTCAGGCCCGTACCGGGTATCTGCAGGCTCTCCTGTATGACCTGCGACTCCGCCAAAATAGCGCTCTTGTCCGGGCAGGCACCTTGAAATCCGTGCTTCCAGGTCGCCAGGACGACCGGCTTCATGAGATCGTAATCGTGAGCCGCGCACGCATGCGGAACGTGTATGGGTGGCTTCTCCTCGGCGGTGCTCATAATGATCTTGTCGATGATGACGACCTGAAACGAAACAAATGACACCATTGTTACCTTGTCCTCAATCGTAAGACGTGTATCAGGAGCCCGTGGACGCGCGACGAGAAATTCAGGCTCACCTCGTTCCAAGGCACAAAGACGATGTGACTCTGCGGCTTGAAGGGTGACCTGCCGAATTGCAAAGTTACGGCACCGCCGCCGTTCACCAAGAGATCGAACCAGCCGTCGTCTCTCGTGAGAGTGAAGCCTTCCAGCGGTGTGCTGGTGCTGACTCGCACTCCCATCAATCCTGTGCCGAGATGCGTGACAACGCGACCACGTATGACGGCTGACCGGCTGTTAGACAACAACTGTGTTAATCGCTGAAAGCTCGCGAGCGAGTAGATAGTCTAAGATCACTTCTTTCTGTGCTTCGTCGTACACTACCAACAAAGCAATCGCTATTCTCTAGGCTAATCTCAATCTACTACTGTTTTACTGTTCACACTTCTCGGATATCTCTCCCCTTCCGAGTGTATACCGACGAGAAGATACTGTCACTTGATAACGCCTAATGAGAGATCTAGCTTTCGACATTTCGTAAGAAAATATAAGCTTGTCTGTTAGATAAATTAATTGTGTGCCTTTTGTGAATGAAAAAATGATAACAGTAATTAGCAAAGTCTGTACTGTTAACAGAAAATGAGAAATATATTCTTTTTACTGTTAATACAGGATTAAGAATTTTTTTTTCAATTTTATGTTATAACGTAAGTTGTATCTCTAGTAAAATAAGGCGACAATAAAGTAGGGACGCAGAAGGCCTCGGTCTTACTTCAGGCCCAAGTACTTCAAGAATAGATCCTTAAGATTGATCCATAATTCGATATCTGTGATGGGAGGAATCGCTATAATTAAACGCGAAGTGAGTTTCTCACATGGACGTTTAAAAAGACGTCCGCGAGAAAAGAGGCAATCGAGAGTGAATTTGCATCGAGAGGTAATGCACGTCCACTTTCATATGTGACAGAATCCTCGCGCCGGTTAATTAATATCTCGATATATCGGGCGTTAATCGCCAATCGCGTATGCAGATATGTTAAATGTTTAACGCGATGTACTTTCGTCAATTTTGCTTCTCAGTGCTAAAGAGGAACCATTCGACTGTCCGCTGAATAACACTAAACGATGCGTTCTTTTTTTTTTTACGTTTCGGACAATTTTCTCGGATCTCTCTGTCAGACTGTAGTTGCCTGTAGTTTATGAAATAAACAACGGAATACAGTGTACGACAGCCGAACAATCGCGCCTCTTTGGTACTGGAGCATAATAGTCGAGGACAAGTCACTACTTACATAAGTATAGTCAATATATATTTATATATTTATATATACACGAATAACACAAAGTCGGAAGCTCAACGTAAAAGGCACGAAACACAACGTAGGAATCAAAAGGTAACTGAACCATGCAACATGAGAATGTGTTCAACAACAACGGAGGACGAAGTGCGAGCTCGAACGATCGTGGAATGTGTTCCAACTGTCAAGATAGAGACTCTTAGATCGTGTATTACATTTCGCCGATTTCCCGTAGTGTCCTAAGTCAATGAGAGAACGTAGATATCATCGGCATCAGCGAGAGTAATGTTCTCCCCGGATATCTACGGCAGACGTTTGTACATCTAAGCCCTCTCATCGTCTTGGAGACGACTGATACTATAAATGCGAAGTGCAGAAATACATGATCCAAGGAGACCTGCTGAGATTCAATGAAATCGAGAGAGGTCAGGCTTCTCAAGCGCAGTCGAACGCACACACGCACGGTTCGTCGCGATCGGGATGCAGGATGTATTTTTATGTACAGATACGTGAGAGATACCAAATGCACGAAAATATTATCAAACAGTAGCAGGTTCTTTTATTACTGCTACGACGGATCTTATTACGGATCCTCGTTCATTTAGTCGAGCGTCTGGTTTTCTTACCTTGTGTTGAAGTGATTCCAGAACATACTGACCGGGCAGCACGGATAAAACAGAGCCGAGTTAAAATGATGCGATTAAAGGCGAAAATAGGAAGAGGAGGACGCGGGACCGAGGAGGGCGCGGGTCGGGAGAGAAAGAGAAAGAGAAAAAAAAAGTATCAAAGGATTTCCAGGGGCGTGGATGAAAATATAGAAGAGTCTGAGGAAAACTTTCCGCTTTTACGAAGAATTTCGATACGTCGCGTTTCCGGATTACTAGAATTCGCCGGTCCCTTCCAATGGACCCGACGCGCCGGGGAGAAAAAACTGTCCGGTTATTGTATCCCCTTCCTACCCCCTTAGCCGGCATGATGAGCGAAAAGCTCGAGGCTTAAACATGGACTCACACATTCACGCAAGCTCCACTCGGACGGACATGAGAAAGAGAGAAAGAGAAAGTATCGAAAGAACGGGGAAGGGGTTGGATTGATATACCGATAGATTGATCGTAAGGGACTGTAATAAAGATCGGAGTAGACAGAGAGAGAGACAGAGAGAGAGAGAGAGAAAGAGAGAGAAAAAGAGAGAATGAAAGAGAGTAAGAGAAATAGATTGATGGAGACGAGGGCTAGGGCGGGGGAGGCTTAGTGCAGGGCACACGCTCGCGCACACGTACGTACAAAACATATGTAGAAAACTGTTGGGATGTGATTTCACACGGGTCACAACAACGCAGATATAATATATTGAAATCTATGTATATGCGTCCTCGTGTCTGTACTGTCAGTGATATATGTGTACTGAGAAAGAAAGAGAGATGTACAGGGGTATGCGTGTATCTTGTAATATGCGCGCAAAGGCAGCTAAAGATTACCGGGTCCCTGCGAGAGAGAGAGAAAGAGAGAAAAAGAGAGAGAGAGAGAGAGCTGGGACCCTGGCTCTCTGTGTGCGCGCTTCTTCCCGCTTAGTTAAAAATAGAGATCGATCGGCTTTGCCCGACTAATCTTTCAACCGATTCGGTTCCCGGCTCGAGTCAAAGGGACCGTGTATTCGTATTATTAATAACCTTTAGTCGTTCCGTCAAGCATGCAACTTTCTCGACCTTCGCGATTCACGCTTTACACAGGCTCACCCCCATGCATTTCCTTTGCCATACGGATCCTTTGCCTAATTTGAAATACATGTGACCTTAATAACCACGCCGAGGCACCTGACGCGACGGTTCCCCCGAGCTGCGAGCTATATTGGAAATCTGGGAAATCTGGGAAATCTTGAAAGCTTTAAGAATCGAATTAAATAATAAAATCTCATTTCCTCGCGCGCGAGTATATTAGTGAATTTTATGCCAGTCGGAATTTTATTTGAGATTTAATCGCCATAAAGAAACTCGGGGAAAACAGCATTCGAGAAAATTTCTGCCGCGAAACTATCTGTTTCATATATTGTTCAAGAAATCCATATGTGAAAGAAAATGTGACGGACTTGCGATACCATGTGTAGCGTCAATGTATTCCTATTTAATGCTGCCATTCTCTCGTGATCGCGCATGTGTTGAGATTCCTATTTCAATTTCTTTACTCAGAGACACGCAGACTGTAGACGCAACATCGACATCGGGACGGACAATTTTCGCTAACGATTTCAACGCGTTGACGACGAGGACCATGACGACGACATTGGTCGCAAGGACGAGAGGGGAAAGTCTCGCGACGATAGACGGCGAACTTACCTCTCGTTGAAGGTCTCCTGACGAGCGTAGTTCTGCAGACTGCCCTCGTCGATTAGGAACTTCATTCTCTCGAAGAAGGACGCGGTGATGGCGGGTGGCTGTTTCCGTAGTAATATATCGATTGGCTTAGGAGCTGAAACGCACAGCTGGCTGCTACGGCATATGTGATTGGAGCAACATTCCGGGTCGGCACAATCGGTGAGACCATCTACAAGACACATTATTTTCAATTAGAGTCGCAAGGAAAAAGTGTACTTACAACACAGCTTTGGGCGGTTTCTTGATTTTGAACAAATATATATTCTAACTATAAGTACTATTTCAACAAATACAAGTATACAAGTAAAATTTCAATTTTACTTTTATCCTTTTAGTTTATCTTTTCCGTCCAACTTTGAATTTAAACAGACTGTATTTGTGAAATATTGCATAAAATAATCAGGTTTCTACGTTCTGTATTAAATAAAAAAACACAACAGTGTCTAAACGCTGTACCTTTATCGTTGTCTCGTCCGTCGTTGCAATTCTGTTCTAGGAGCACGTTGCAATCCTTGCCGTCCCAGCCGTTATAACACTGACATTCCCACTGCGCGTCGTTCGACACCCTGCACTGTCCATGGCCGGAACAGGAATTCGGACAGCCCTCCATCGTACAGTGTTTTCCGTTCCATCCGGTGACGCATAGACACGTGCCATTTTTGCATTGTCCGTGCTCGTTGCAGCGGGGATCGCATTGCTTCAGATTGCACAGCTCGCCGGACCAGCCTGGCAAGCAGTCGCAGGCGTTGTCCACGCAGTGCCCGTGAGGGCCGCAATCAAGATCGCACAGTTCTGAAACACGGCGAGGCGAGAGACGGTTGAAAACGACTGGTCAAAGTGCTCGGAATAATACGGAAGTGTGTTAGTCTCGAAGCGGACACTCAGAAGCGAAGCGATGATCGTCCGACAAGTATTAAAAACGACTACGAGAAGAAAGGGGATCTAGAAAAATGGACAGTTAATCGGGGGAGAGTTTCGTAAAAATTACTTCGCAAGTTCTCTGTTCACCATCCAAAAACCTGGAAACATAGGAATCGTCAGTTCGCCGAAAGTATAATCGATACTTTCAACCCAATTTCATATCGCGGTTACCTCGCTGGTTTTAAATGTTACAGGTCGACGCAGACGTATCCCTGTCAATGGCGCTAATTTCGATCTGTTTGCTACTGTTTTTTAAATAAATTCATAAATATAGGTACAATAAATATAACAAATTTTGATAAAAAACCAATAAAAAGATACTATTTTTTTCAAATAGAGAAATAGTAGAACGCAACTGACAATAACTGTCCTTTTCATTTTTAATCTTATCGCATACTTGATCTTATAAGACAATTCAGCTAACTTCTCTATTTTTAATCTTTACGAACTGAAAAATGACACGCAATTTACTTCTTGCTCGATGTGGAACATTCTGAAATATAATTACGTTCGGTCAGTCACCCGCTCACCTTTCGAGCAATCATCACCGGACCACATAGGCTCGCAGACGCAGCTCTGGGTCTCCAGATCGAAATTCCCGTGACCGCTGCAGTCCGGCAGGCACTGCAGTGCCTCCTTATCCATTTGACTGCAGTCGGCTCCCTTCCAGCCCTTCTTACAGATGCACGTGCCCTCGGCGCAGAAACCGTGGCCCGAGCAAGTCGGATGCGGACAGTCGACCTCCTCGCAGTACTTGCCCTTGTAGCCGCGTACACAGTTGCACTTGCCGTTGGTGCAATGCCCGTGACCGTTGCAGTCGGGTACTTCGCACTCGTCGTGTCGCAGGGAGCACTCCTTGCCCTTCCAGCCGGGATTGCATTGGCACTCGCCGTTTATGTACTCGCCTAAATCGGAACGACGGGATTATTTGTTGACGAGAATTATTTACGCGCCCGGGACTCGCAAAATTGCGTCATTTCGGATGGGTACTTTCAAGGATTAAAGCCCGACGAGACGCGATTGTCGCCGCAATTGATCGACATCGAAAATATTTGTATTTCAATTGATTAGATCCAGACATGACAAAACTGCGCACTGATGTACTCCTCTTGAAAAATAAGACAGCGCATTTTATTCACAGTAAATAAATACGGCTGCGTATCGCTTCGCGAGTGCGCTGAGGGAGAAATGAGTGTACCAAGTACCAGGAAATTAACATGTATCGCGAGTATTTGCAAAAGTGCAATACTGAAACGAGTGAAACGTAATCGGCTTTGATTTCTATTTAAAAGAAATCAATAAACGAAGCCGCGCGGACTTGGTTTTTTTAATCAGTTAAAAAACCTACCAATCGTTATTTCTTTCTATTTCAATAGGATTTTAATCAAACCCGTAACCAATAACCGATTTTTGAAGTTTATTAAAATTCCAATACGGATTTCAATTTAATGTTATTTTAACCAAACGGTTGAATCCTATTATCGCAGATTTCTCAATATTTTTATAGTAATAATTTCATATAATAATACATATGTGTATACACGTATGTAGCTTATATACGTAACAATCAAAGTAAATACAAATTATTATAAACCGACGTTTACATAATTAAAACAAAGAAAAGCCGATTGTCGATGAATTGTTGCCCGGGATATTTTATTGAGTGAGACAAGCTTACCTCTTTGACTGCAGAGAACAGGACAGACACTCTCGCTGCAGTCTTCACCACCGAAACCAGGATTGCACTGGCAATGGCCGAGAAGACACTCGCCCTTGCCGCTGCAACCGTTTGGACAGTTATGCGTCATATCCTCGGCGATTACGGCGATGAACGAGACTTCATGGGGATCTCCGTCGTCGTTATAAAGCGAGAGGAACCAATGTCCCGGCTCCATGTACTGGGTTACCTCCTTCTTAATCGAAGGCTGTGAAAGGCATCGGAAATTGGAGTTAAACCGTCACCGCTCAAGTCGATCGTACATGCGTCTTCGACGATACAGGGGGGAAGAGTAAAAAAAATTGAAAAAATACATAGTCTGTCCGAGAATTATCGTTGTTACGCGAGAAAGAGAAATAAAAATGGGGTAGCGGCACATACAATAACACTAACATGGGACGCCCTGGTGGTCCGAGCCTTAAAACCGCTGAGCACCTCCAGTAGGTCGTACTGCGTGTGCGTGGGCAGCGCGTTCCTCCTCGCGTACACGCCAATGCTCGCGCCGCGCGGGATGCTGTAGTCGAAGCGTACGTAGGCGGCTTCCGATTGGTAAAACTGCATGTTCCAGTAGCTGTACGGCAGTATCTCCTCGCTGAGCTTCTGCCCTAAGCCGACCTGAGCGAAGGTCGTCCCGTCGGGCGGGAAGGACCTCGCCGGGAAGGTTCGTGCACCTGCGGACGCGAGTCGCAATCAGAAGCGATACACGACTGGGGCGGCTCGAGTTTCCGTTGGATAATGTAAGCCGAGATCGTCATTAGTAATTTTAGTATAATTAATTGCATTATCCGTCTACCAAAAAGTGACTGCCTAGACTGCAACTTGTACGGAACAGCTGGCTTTAAAAGGAAAAGAGCAAAATTGGCATTAAGTTACACAGCATCGAGATTACATTATCCGACAGAGATGTGAGAATTCGCTCTTGAGAGCGAAATATTCCCCCGAGTCTAGGATGCATGGATGCTTATGCGCGTCAGTTTTCGTGAGCGTTACGCCTTTTCTTCCCTACTTCATTTTCAGACGGAATCGCCGATTCATTTTAGTATCGGTTACTTCACAATTAATGGGACCGCGATAGAAATGATTTTTCTTTCGAAAACAACACGCGCTCTCCTGTGCATTAGCAATAATTGTTGCCGGTTGCCGACAATTAGTTCGGGACATTCCGTGCAGGGCTTAAAATTACGTCTCATAATCTACGCAAATTACACTACCCACTACCACAAAACACACTACAATGACTACAACAATACAGGCAAGTTAACGTTCGCGTTTGACCAGTCCGTGAGCAAACGACAAGCGAACGAGTGAGCATCGGCATCAGCGCAGACGGAAGATAGAGGGTAGAAGTGTCAGAAGAAAATATAAGATAAGTGATTGAGAAAAGATGAAAGATCGGAGAAAGAGAGAAAACGAGGCCTCACCTTCGAGTATCAGTATAGTGGGCTCCGGGGGTAGCGGAGTGCTCCCAGAGCAAGACCACACGTCGGTGCTTACTTCTGGCTCGTAAGTCGACGCGGAGGTCTCGTTGGTTGACTCGCCACTCTCCGCGGTGTCGTCCGTCGACGAAGGATAATAGTCTTCGGTGGTGGAGATCGCGTCAGGCCTTACCGACTCTTTCACGGATGACTGTCCGTCCCTCTTATCCGTCGGTCTCTCCCCTGGCTCCTCGGGGGAATTCTCGGCTAACAGAGTGGAGTTAATGCTCTCGAGCTCCTGCTCGTCGTCGATCGCTGAAAAGTTGTCCCACTCGTCAGACGACGAGCCCATGCAGGGGCAGGAGCACTCGCACTCGCCGCCGGCCCAGATCGGCGCCGGTGGCGAGGCAGGTGGCTGCGGCGGTGGCGGTAATCGCGTATCGACCGCGTCAATCGACTCTTGGTCGTTAGCAGGGATTTTTTTCATGCTCGCCGCGGACGGCTCCGATAGCCTCTCGGCCGTGCGCACCTGCACCTGATCGACGTTATTCGCGGATGAACGGCTAATCGCGCCGCTCTCCGTCGGCACCGACACCGACAGGACGTACAGTGGCCTCGAGGAGGCGGCGGACGAGTCCTCGCTGGTGATCGTTACGTTTATGAGCACCCGGTGCGATGACGATGAGAATGAGGACGATGAAGGCGATGGCTGCGAATGACCGTTGCGGTACACGGGCACCTCCACGATCTGCACGCGTTGGTTCATCGGAGGGTCGGACCAAGGGGACCCGGGTGATGGGTTGTTGCTCGATGAATCATGCACCGTTTCATGCAGGGTGTCCGCAGGAGGGGAGTTATAATTAGTGCTAATCGATGGGGAGTTTTCAACAGATTCGTCGACGGACGCCTCGTGAAGCTGCTCTTTAAACTTCCGAAGAAACTCCTCGTCGCTCCTTGCTCTCACGATGACCCGTGGATCGTCTTTATACCGTTCCTCTCGGAGAGCAGCGTTCATCCTTACTTCATTGTTAAGGCTCGCGGACTCGGATGATTTAGCAGGGCGTTCCGCCGTTGCGGTTTCGACGGGTCGCTTCTTGTGATGGAGGTTGACGATCTCCACCTCGTCCTGCCCGTAACTGTAAATCGGCACAGGATAGTCTCGCTGCAGTTCCTCAGATTGCTCGGAAGTTTTGGTCACGTTGAACGACGCTTCGGATTCGGCGGAGGAAAATTCGCCGGACAGCTCCCGCGTTTCCTTCACGATGCTGGACGTCCGGGATTTTACCGATTTCGCGCTCGTCTTCGAGATACCGTCGTTTCCTGCAGAATCGACCGACCTCTCGTTCTCGCCCGAGCTCATTTTTTCCTCGAACGCGGCAACCTCGGCTGTATCTGCCACAGGTTCCTCGACGTCCCCGTTCTTGTTCGGCAGGGTATTAAACGCCGCTTCACCGTCTACGCTCAGACCAGGCGGGACTGTGGTGGCATCTACGTCTTTCCGATCCATTTCTACGGGAACTAATTCTTCGCTCGAGTCAGAATTACTTACGTCCGGTCGCTGATCCACCGTTAGCTCCTTGGAGTGCACTTCTGTTATAATCGTTGGTTCTACAGCGCTATCGTCTACGTTATCAGTGTAATCGACGGGGAAAACGTTACTGCCATTTTCCGCATTTCCTCCGACTACTTGGCCGTAGTCGGTGCTATCTGCGCCAAGTTTCGCGGACTCCGCGCCGGATGCAGACGTCGTAGCCCCGGTGCCGACGCCGCTCTCGGCAACGTCCGAACTTTCGGACGTGCTGGCGTTATCGGTACCGCGGTCGAAATCCGCGGAGTCATCGCGGCTGAGCTCCGCTATCGGGACATGCGGCTCTCGATGCCGCGCCTCGGCGTCGCCGGCGGCCGGGAACTTCCGGGTGTACTTGGAGGAAGTGTCCTGCGGGGTCGTCGCGTCGGACGTCTCGTTACTGGGCGATTCGCGAACGGAAGTGAACGCGAGAGAATTGCCAGAGCCGACAGAGACAGAGGACGAAGAGGCGAGATGGTCGACAGCGACAGTGGTATGAGTCGAACGATCGTACGAGTAGTTAGTAGCGGTAGTAGAAGAGACATTCACGACAAGCTGTACCGGCCGCGAGGGAGCCGTCGATCCCGGTGACTCCGGCGGCGCGTCCTCGGCGTCCTCGGCAGCTTCGATCGAGGGGCCGATGGCTCCTCTCGCATGCTCCGGATCATGCACAACCTTACCAGAAGACTCCTCCCCATGCAACGGGACTGACCGCCGCCCGGAGCCCGCCGAGGTCTCCGCCTCAGCGGGAGCGGCCGGGGTCAAGGGCAGCTCCTCGGGATCACGAGAGGGTGGTGGCGCGACAGTTTGGTGCAACGCATGCTCGTTAAACGTGTCCCTACGCTTGCGGTTGTACACGACACCATCTAGCAACATGCTATCCGACGTGCTAATACTACCTCCTGACGATGGCGGCCGCGTCCTGCCGCTCGACTGCGACGACGTCGACGTGGTAGACGTGGACGTCTTGTTCGCCTCGCCCGACGACGGCTTGGCGTCGGTGTTATCGCCCACCAGGACGTTGCACGCCTTCTTGCCTTGGTACGACCAGTTCACTAAATTGGACGCTTAATAAGGGATCAATTAGGATTGGACGCTGGTGTTAGTTTATCGTGGACTACGCTACGTTAGCTTTCGCGTTACTCCGCGTCGCTTCCAAGTTAAATTTCACAGGCAAGTTTCACGCGCAAAGATTGGAAAGCGATCTAAATTACGTGTGACAGACTAGAGACGCGCTTTGAGAGGAGCGCTTTTTAGTAACGCCTCTCGTAACATCAGATATCCGTTAGCTTAAAGACTACGCGCTCGATGTGGAAAGGCAGACATTTCGTAGAGCAAAGAAAGATCGCTCGGAATGCAATATGCGAATAATTACCTGCGACGTAGGTTAATGCCGCGGTCAAGCAGAGCGAGAGCATAATTACTACTATGGCAATTAGTTTCCAGCTGCACCAATCGATTCCCTTGCGGAAATGACAGCGGATGCTTTGTCTCCTCATCGGGATCATCGACGGGGCGTGCCCGTAAGGTAAAGGTACTCTGAAAATCGATGAAGGTCGATTTGTAGCGCGGTCCGCATGTAAATTCCCGCTGTAACACGCGCATTATCCCTCCCTCCCCCCGCCCTGCCCCGTCCCAGTCGCTCATTAGCGGCCGGGGGGGGGGGGGGATTAATCTTTATCCCGCCGTTTTATCCGAAAAGTTAGATAGCCGCCCGAATCTCCGTTACAACGGGCGTTGGATAATTCCTCCGATGCGCCGCCGTTGTAATTAGAGAAACACCGCCGAGGAATTCGGCACCTCGGTACAATTTTCAGGCACGTTCGGCCGAACTCTCGGAGTTTCGGTGTACAGCGTGGAGTTTCATCTCCTCTCCGTCTCCCGCCTTCTTTCTCTCGCTCTCCCTCGTGACGTTCGAGAAACTCGTAATGTATTCTCGCTCGTTACACAGCCCCGTAGAAAAGCGGCAGCCCTCGAGTGTGTTTGTACTGAACGTCGCAGCCGCCGCCGCCGCCGCCGCCGTTTCCAAGTAACTCACAAATGTCTAACCAAAATATTTAAACGCAACCCGTCGGATTCTGAAGCGGGAAAGCGCGTTTGCTTTCGTTGCACCGCGTGATAATGAAAAAAACGAGAACCAAGCGGCGTCTACCAGGCGTCCTCTCTCTCTCTCTCCCGCTGTTGATTCTACGCGGATTGGACGCGCGTTTTTTTTTCTATCGTGCAAACCAAATAAAAGCGGACGATTTGGAGTTTCCCCGAGTGAAACTTCCGGTCTCTGAATTCTCCATTTTGCAGCCCGATGTTGAAATGTTTAACCGAATGTTTGACTTATTCGCTACAAAGTTCCAATATTGAAATATCCTACGTTTCCGAACGCTAAGCTCCCTCCGCTTTTATCACATTTACATTTCCAGGAGATATTTCGTTTTGTTTTGATTTTTAATAAAGATAAGTGAAATATTAATTTTATAAAAATTAAAAAGGAATTTACAAAAAAGAAGGAGAGAAAGGGAGGAATATCAGATCGCGCCCGTTTCTCCCGCGTTTCGCGCTTCCGTTGAAACGTGAAAAAATTCCGGGAAACGTACGCGAATGAACGCGGCGCGGGGAAGAAATCGTGTTGCGCGCTGCGGAATCGGCCGGGGAATTAGCATTGGCTATTATCAAATTAGTTTTCTCATTTCGTATTACTTCAATATCGTTCTATTCAATCTCTTAAAAAGTGACTCGCTCAAACTTTCGAGCCGGAGCGTTAATGCCATTTAGCAAATTTGCATACCGTAAAAGCGGAGAGACTCGAATCTCCGTTCGTTCCCAGGGTAGCGCGTTATCAAATTCCATTCTCTCCTCCCTCGCTCTCCCCCGCGGTCGAAAGAAGTTCGTTTACCGGCCTTGTAAACACGATGTGAATCTCGCAGCAGCAGCAGCAGCAGCAGCAGCAGCAGCAGCAACCGTTTCGTAAGTTCCTCGACGCAGCACGCGTTGCTCTGCGGCTCTGCGACGAATGGTCGTCGCAAGAGCCCGTAAGGACCCGACCCGATTTTCCACGGGCGAGCGTAAACTAGAGCGCAGGCGAGATTTTTCGAGGTATGACAATCCACGTTCAAACATTGACTCATTGTGCCGCGAGTCGGCCTGAATGGATGATTCATGAGGATCACTTGAGCGGCAGCGAAAGAAAGGAGCGCAGGAGCATAGACGTCGGCCGACGTTAACGTCGCTTCCTTGATCACGCGTCGGCGTTTCGGTACACGAAAGCCTCCTTCCGGGCAACCACGACGGAAGCCACGACGGTGCGATTCATCCCGAGGCCCGGGGACACCTCCGTCGCCGCGCTGTCGGCGGGAGGGGGGGAAAAAGTATTGTGGCGGTAAACGGTCTTACCTGTCCATGTTGTTCTGCAGCTCCACCTTTATTGGACTGTTCCCCGTGGACTGATTCTTGCTGTTGTATTCATTCTTCGGTATCTCTGCAAAAGAGAAACAGAGGGGATGAAGACGGTTCGTTATATATCTCGCCGCCTGACAGATCGGCGAAATTTCTCGTGGGGAAACAACGCGGGCGCCCCCCTCCACGTGTCAGGTTTTTCCGCCGCGTCCAAAATGTAAATGCAATTCAGCGCGATGTAGTTTACATTTTACGTAATGCATACGAAATCGTATTATACGAGAAGCGTCATAATATACGCGGAAAATTGCCGGTAAGATAGCTTTTTCGACGAGCCCGCGCGAAGCTCTCGCCTCGCGCCGGCCATTATTCCGCCAGTTTTTTTTTTAAGTCGCGGGATCAGCCGCCCTATCAAGTTAACTGATTTACCAAGGTAAATGATATCGTTAGAGCCGCTAATAGACAGCGCGTATTACATTTTGACGTAGGGATCTCCCGAGGTTCGACGGGGTTAAAAATGCCCGCTGTCAATCCGTCGTCGGGTATAATCACGCCCTTCTTCGCTTACGTTTATCCTCACGCCGGGCATTTCCGATTACGCGCGGAACGTATAATTAGGAGGCGCGCTCTCGGGCGCGCGAGGCGTGGCCGGCCGTTAAATAAATTACGACAGTGTCGATTCTGCATTTTCAACGCGAGGTCAACTTTTCCCGCCCCGGTGAACGACCAGACGTCCGATCCCTTGTGATGCCAGACGCGAACGCCTTTCCGCCTCGCGGCGCGGCGGTTTCCGAGGAAGGAAAACGGCAACGGCGGTCGCGCGGGGCTCCTGTTGAATCGATAAGTATATGATTCATCGCGGTTTTGGCTTGAATTTCAAGCAACCGCGCCAAGGGAAGCCCGCGTATGCGTTCCCGGGTCTTAGGAAACCGCCGGGCACGAAGGGTCTTGTGAAAGGCGAGGAGAAACCGTAGGAAAAAGGGGCCTCGTCTTCGAAAGAAAGAGAAGATGCTAATTTGGTAGTATAATGTATTGGAAATCGTGACGTTTCCCTTTGTCATCTTTCAAGATATCCGGAAGGCACGGTTTCGAAAATCGACGCGGGCTCGCACATCCTGTACGCACGGATTCCGCATGTTCGACGGACGATGGAGAACGTCATGATGACTGATGATTAGTGGTGGACGCTGGTGGTCCGAGGGATCGCGCTCTCGCAGCGATATGCACGAGTATTAACGCGCGTTAATCCGCAACCGGGAACCTCGAGCGCACAAGTTTCGAGCGCGAAGTAACGCGAATTCTATTACGTATCTCTCGCGCGATACCCCGCTGAAATATACAGGCCGGTATTAGCCGCGATAAAATAGCTCGCGTAACGCGCACTTCCACATTCATTTGCGGTTCACACAAATTAGAAAAACATGCAACACTCGTGGCCAGCGCGAAATATCGCGGGGGGGAAAAAAAATCAAAATTACACATTTAAATCCGGAAATAATGACTGATGAAATAGAAATAAGCACGTGGGAAAGTATTTACATACAGAAACAAGCTGTGAATTAATTTTAGAAGTTTAACTTCTCTCTCCCTCTCCTCCCCACCTCTCTCTCTCCTCCATGATTCTGATTCTCTCTCTCTCTCTCTCTCTCTCTCTCTCTCTCTTTCTCCTCCCTCTTCCCCCTCCCTCTCTCTCCGCGCGTCGAGATACGGTCGCGCGTGGTAGCGCGGTGCGCATTTAAAACGCAGTGCTCCAGCGTTTTGAATATTAATGAGCCACTTTACACGTTTACGCGCGCAGGCGGCATTCGAGTTCGAGCTTTGTTGTTCTTGACACTTAGCCCGTCTCGCGCCCGCTTCACGAAACCCTTTTTCAGGACGCGCTCGTTACGAGGAGCGAGGCAGAGTTTGGCTGCTTCAGCGCCCTTTGTCTTCTTACGGGGAGCTCGCTCAACTCTAATGTTCCGCGCACCTTCAGGCGTACCTTGGCGAACGGTAAAACGCGGGCGTGGGAAGAGAAGAGGGCCCAGCCGAAGCTGCTGACCCCACCACCGATAATTGTAGGTGTTGGCGCTCCGGCCCCGAAATCCGGTGATTATGCCATTTAGGCAGATATCGGTGATTACGGTGATTTCGGGGGTACTCCGCTCTGCCCGGAGGGTGTCTTCTCTGGTTTTATTTTTCTCCGGGGTGTTTAGGCGCACGAGACGGCGACCCCCGTCGCCCGGAATCGAATTAAAGGGGAATATCTGCTAATCAGCGGTTCGCTGGCGAGAATTCATTCTAATTGGCGACCTGCCAGGTGATTTACCGCCGATGATGCGCTCGCGAGAGGCGCCCTCACGTGAAGAATAGCTTTGACGAAGGGTTGAACACGATGGTATACGCGCGTCGAATTGGAGCCGCGTTGGCCGTCTTAAATCATTTAAGAGATCAGAATCCCGGTTGCGCGCGATAACATTCAGTGGAGGTGTATGTGTATTACGGCTGAAGATAATCGGTTTTAGCAGTTAATTTAGTTTTTTTATCGCGTAATCTCGTTACTTCTCGCTCACTGATTAAATAAACAGCTTTAGTCGTAGTTGTGGCGTATCGTTATTCCTCGTCAAAAACTCGATCTCGATAATCGCTGCACGTCAATGATGACACTAGAATTTTTCAACTGCTCTAATTATAAGTCCATCGGCTACTAACGTACAGTAAGTGTCAAGAGAATTGGAATCATCTTTGAGATTAAAGAAAGAATGTTACATTGAGTAAAAATAACTTGGACTTCGACTTCAGTGTAAAATATCTTGTAAGTAGGTACGTTTGAAATGATACTGCTGGCACCATCTAGTGGTAATTTTTATTTTTGTAATTTTTTCAAATTCCATAATTTTAAAAAATAAACATAATTAATAGTTTTCAAACAGCAGCTCATTAAAAACTGACCCGGGTCGAATTGACCCATAAACTCGAAAAAAAAGGTATGACAACCAAGGGTTAAGACTCGCTCTGTATCTCAGTCAAGAGCCGTAAGATTTTTTCCAGATGCGAACGAAGGAAAGACTTACGAGAACAGCTTAGGAAAAATATTCGAAACTGGAAGTAATAAGAAGTGGCAAAAAAAGTTTTAAAGTATTTCAAGAATTGAAACGCTAGTTTTTTTTTCCATACGTAATGACATACCGTGCAGTCGTAAAATTTCCATGATAGAGTTTCACACTTTTAACACAGATAATTTATTGGGTGCACACACGTATAAGCATTGTTCACGTAATCCTATTGGCGCATAAATATATTTCCCAATTTACACGTCACTAACGGAGCTCATAATTGTTGAAACGGAGGGAAAAAAAACGAACTTATACCCGAGGTAGGTATACACGGACTGAAAAACGAGAGCAAACTCACTGCGTGGGCAAGGTGACTCCTAGAAAGCAAGACTTGGACTGCGGACCTAGCCATTATGCAGACGGCCATAAGCGTCAGGCGGTGTCATAACCGGACAGTCAATAAGACGAAGGATCGTAAGGCTCGTAAATCACTGTTCGACCTATCTCATGGATTTTAAGAGAACCTTTGAAGCGGATCCACGTTTGCTTTAGAAAAACATCAGGGTGCGCAGAGACGCATCGAAGGAAAAGTCACCCCCGGCGCTCGACCATGGAATTTGAAAAATCTTTGGGACGAGCCGAACAAGGGAAAGGAGCGTGTCACCGGGTGCCCGAGTATTTGTGCCGGACACTTCCCGAGTCGCCGAGTGGACCGGGGAGACTTTATACGTAGAAAAGCTTAGGTTTCGCCGTTGTTTTCTCTGTAGTCGATACCACGCGCCGGTGGAGTACCTCGGAAAAATGTCGCCGCAAGGCGTCCTTTTCTTTCCACGAGTACGCTCGGTGGGCATGGCAAAGGACAAGTGAAACCGTCAAGGGATTTGTCCTTCGTCGTCGCTCAGGTTTCGCGTCCATTGTTCTCCATATGGAAATCATTCATTCATCTTTACGCAATTTCTAAAACGTCAAGTTTAAAAAATGTAGTCCCGTGAACGAGACAAATGAGACCGACAGCGTCACAACTCCAATATTCCGCGATCCCTTTGCCTTTTTTTTTATTGCTCTTGCCCTCGGATAGTTACTACTATCTACTACTCCGAACAGCTTTAACATCTTTTTTTTTATTCCGTTGCAAAGTTACCACCGGTATGCAGTGTTATTTCATGTTACGATCCTTTAAATTAGATTTGTAATTAATTTGCCAATGCGGGGGCGCAAGTTTGAAGAACTCGCGAAAGGCTAAGTTGGCAAGCCGACTCGTACCGATTCGCTCTCTCCGCAGACCAATCTGCGGCGACTAAATTTTGAGAATCGTTCGGCTTGTTAGAGTCAAGTTAGTCTCGAGGCTACTCCAACAAGTCCCGACTTTTATTTCCAACTTTTATTTCACGAGAAGCCGCGTTTTCTCACGCGCAACACGCGAGCATCGCCGACGTTATCACGTGCCTTGTTTTCCCAAGATAAAGCAAAGGGATATCCCCGGGATCCTTCGGCAAACAGACGGAGGGGTACGAAAAGTTTGTGAAAAAAAGGAGGAAAAATTTCGGATAACGTAACGCGGCTTTCGAACCAAGTCTTTAAAAAGTCCGGGGATGATAAGAGGCGCCGCGGACGGAAGAAACTCTGGAAATTATCGACACTTCTCCCTTCGGCTGATCCTCTCATTGGTTACCGCTGATTACGATGTATACCCTCGTCAAAGATGTCACCCGCCGTCGTCCTTTGCTAAGCCTTCTTTCGACGGGCCGGCGCAAACATCGCCGACATTATCGGGGGGATACACCCCACCGGGATACCACAATAGGATACTTGTGCTCGCGAAAGCGCGTTTGTTTTCCTAACAAATACTTATCCGTATTTGTGTTGATGTATATATTTTTATTTGTTAATCACGTGACACTATTAAAAGCGTCCGAGTTCCATATTTGTGTCTGCGCGGAGATAAATCGATGCTTTAGAGAGATACGAGAAAACGAGGACAGCTACGGAAATAGGTCTCTTTCATTTCGTGATGCGACTACCTGACCAGATGTGTGTGAGTAGGTGTGTGTGTATATGAAAGAATGAGGGGGAGAGAGAAAGGGGGGAGGGAAACGAAAAAGAAAAACGATTTTCTCGAGTCAATATTCCCTAATTAAGGTAATGGTGATTGCGAATCTTTTGACAGAGATGAAAAGGAAAATATACGGAATAATATCAGAACTATCGCCTACGGATTCTTTCACCAATCTTGTACAATTGACGGTTTTCTTAACAAAGGTACAAGGACACTTCGATAATTCACGAGCTACAGACAATTGAGAATAAAAAAAGTTCGAGCAATTTACCTTTCAACAAATGATATAATTTCATTTCTCTAAAAATGGTGAGAATGCCGGTGCTACTGGAATTTCCGTCTCGTGAAGAATCGATTTTGGATCGGCCAAGGTACACGGTGAACGGAGGAAAAGGGGAAAACTGTTTCCCACGTATCTTGTATGACTGCCCGTTCATTCCTCCTCTCTACTAAATCAGACTTAACGATCCCTGCCTGCGAACTCACTTGGTATATTGTAGAAGTTACCGGATGGGGTGCGTACGAGACAGGATGGCTCGAGATCAGGATCGCGCTCGTGATCGCTCGCTGCGTGACTTCCTGGCAGTCTTCCGTTGAGCCGGCTCATTGCGGGGTTACGGGGTGGCACATCAGGCGGGCCCCGTGGTGCCGAACTGTCCAACAAACACCCTGCAACAACAAAGAATAGGCATAGTTAGGAGATGCTGGATATCCTTTGACATCTTTCTTAATTGTACGGTAACGCGACAATAGAGTTATAAATTTCGAGTCTAAAGATAAAAATGTTAAAAAAGGAATTCTTTAGGGCAAGGAAACCCTTTGCCCGTGAAATTTCCTTTTTTGAATGGGCAGGCTCCTTCGGTATTGTATTCCGCTCTTGGTCACCGGTGTAATAAAAATAAAATCAACCCTTGCCAATTTCTACAAAAAAAAAGAAGATTGCGAGGGTCGGAAATAAGTTATCTTCAGTAAATGGCCAGTAAAAATACGAGACACCTTAAAAAATTGGCTGTCTCGAAATAAAGCTGGTCCCAAGAAAGTTGGTTAGTGAGAAAAGTGGTAGACTGACACGACGGCGCGAGGATTTCGCCCAGGATCTAGGGCGGCTGGCGGTCCCGAGGCTTATAACGCTCGCACCGAGTAATCCAGGGCAGGTGGCCCCGGCCCTGGTTTTCATCTGGCGAAGGGTTGAGCCGATCTCACGATTAGGCGCAGTTCACATGCGACGCGCCATCGTCGCGACTGTCGGGGGAGGATAGATGCGGGATGGAACATCCCGCTAACCCTATCCGCGAGCGATCTGGAAAATTTTTTTAAAGCCCGGACTTTGTTGAAGCCAAAGCCGGCAGAAGCTCGCTCTCGAGTGTTGACGCAAACGCGAGGCGGCGATGCGGATTTGCGAGTGTCGCGGATTAGAAAGATCGTTGGAGGATATTAAAAATGCAGAACCGGCTAATGCGATTTGTTGATTCGCGATATGAAGGACCGTCGCATTATTTATTTCGATATTTTCTGCGAAAGCGTTAGCACGGATTATTGTTAGACGCGTGCTGTAATATTCAGCGGGCTTTATGCACACCGGGGTAAACACAAGCAGTTGCGAAGTTAAATTTCGGTCAGATAGTTTAAGCAGCGCCGTATGTACTCGCGCTTGCGTTAGAGAAATTTACTTGCGGTTTACTTTGTTCCCAATGTTCCAAATATATGCGATATTTCTCTAAAATACCATTCTATTTTATCGTTATACCTCGTAAATATATTTCGAGGAAACTTAAAATTCCCAATTTTAATTTCTGACATGTGTGACAGTCGATCGCTCCCATTCGAAAATAGTCGAATTCGGGAATTAAAACGACGAAAAGGATCCGGTATGGGAATATCGGCAAGAAATTCGAGCCGCTTTTTCTGCATCGAGTGCCAGCCAATGAGGCGGATTCGTTCGTACTCTTTTTCTGATGGTCGTAACGAACGTCGCCTGATATCCTATTGAACGATAAAGGGCGCAACAGGAGGCGGCGCGAGCGGAAGAAGACAGGGGAGAGGGGGGGGGGGCAGCGAGGGGAACCGGGGCGAGCGAAAGATGAAGGAAGAGGGTGCGAGAGGAGAGCGAAGAAAAAAAAAAGAAGGAAAAAGTTTTATCCCGTGCGACGACAAAGGACTTTCTCAATCTCGTCTAATCGCGTGCTCGTCTCCCCTTCATCCTTCCTTCCACCCGTTCGCCGTAGCTACCAACTTCGATTCGTGCTTCGCTTACGCGACCCTCTCCCCCGCCCCCCTTCCGCCCCACCCGACTTGGTTCAACCAAGAGCACTCGACCCTTTTACGACCGAACTTTCCCAGTTTCGACATTTCGCTCTTGGTCCCTCCCTTCCTCTGCCCCCGCGAGGAAAGCACCATTTGGCATTACTACCAATGTGCATCGGTCCATCGACGAAGGTAGAGATGCGTAAACTAGCATAACGTCTCAAGGGCACGGTGCCCCCTTTTCCAGAAGTCAGAGGCCACCTCGGGAAAAGCCTCCTTTTACGTTCGCTCGAGTTACGGACGGGTGATATTAACGGTACGCGAACGTTACGGCTACAATTGGAACAAATAATTATACATCGGTGTAATTAATAACGATGATATATTAATAATAATCCCGAATGTGAAATTCTTTGATTGTACCCTCCTTCCCACACACCCGGATCCGTGTTTGGCGCGATTAAATATGAATCCTTATATTAATATTTCCCGACCTGGCTATTAAATTTTAATTAATGCAATAGTACTGCCCAAGCTGTAGAACCAGTATGTAAAATATTAAATTCATATATGTAGACATTGAAAAAGTGTTCCCGATCAAAATGATTATATTGATCCTGTTGCGAAGTGAGCATAGAGTTGTCATAATTTTTACTAATAGAAATTTCATCAAAGCGGACGCTGTAGTCGACGGTGCGCCCTGTCAACCGTTTCTATTATACCTGAAACTTGTTAACCCCAGAATCCGTTCGTTACGTACGAAACGTTCGCGCAACTCGAGAGCTCGAGCGCTCGACAGGAGCCACGCCGGTCTATTCATCCTTGCCGGAGCCATCGAGGCAGAAGAGTCTGTGGCACGTCGTTATTCTTGCTAATAGATCGGCGGGAGCGGGTATTGTCCTGACACAGTTACTTGAAGGATCTCACTCCGTCGTCGTCGCCGCTCCTTTTCTCACCGTTTTAACAGCTTGAACGCACGAGAAGGAGCGACGACGTCGTCGTCGTCGTCGTCGTTGCTCGAGGAGAATAAATAAAAACAGATCGAGGAGGACCAGGAGAGAAAGTTCGAGCATCGACAAAAGGGCACGGGATCTTGCATGCCGCTATCCGGTATCCAGGATGAGCATCGCGCGACAAAGGACGCGCACGCGGGTAAGAAGAAGCGAAGCATTCGTGAATCGAATTATGCTCGCCTGGTTTGCGCGCGACTGAGTCCACATTCGTGAAGGGACCTAAGGGGCGGAGGGGCTAGAAAGGAACGCGTCGTCACAGAGGATCCCGGACTGAATGAGTCCTGACCTCGAGGACCCGATGCCGCGCACCCGGCCAACGTAATGGATGCGCGCCCATTGAGAGTGCACGTCAAAACGCGTAACATAATATCGGGGCCCTTACGCGCAAGAGCCCATGCCTAATGGAATTTATTAGAGAAGGTACTTCTTTTTTCCGCGATCCTCAGGTACGGAATCCCCTAACGGATCGAGCGCTCGCCGTGTAGAATCAAGAGGTTCTCCAGATCGTAAGATTGTCTCCGGATCATTGGAGGTGTTCCTTCGACATGGAAAAGCTAACCGGGACGACCGTGCGAGGAGATAAAGTTAGATCTTGAGAGCAATTGATTGCCACTCGCCAACGTGATGTGCAATATGTCAAATGTCTCCCCGTACTTCAATCGAACACCAAAATGATACATTTTTAAGCGATAAATTTATCTAATTTCATTATTTAATATTATTTCTACGGATACTGTGTATGTCAAATAAATATTATTAATTTAGTAATAGAAAATACAGATTACGCATGAATATGTATTTGTATATGTGTACCAAATTTGGCAACCAAACATCGCTGCTTTAATTAAACATTATTCACATGCGAAAATAAATAATTTTATAATTACGTGAATATAAAATAAAAAAAAGTAATATATTGTGTTAAATGACACGGTATATTGTGAATTTAGATTATGAATTTCGGTTTCTGATATTTTCAAAAATACAGCCGCGCTATTTTTTCGCCGAAAAGGTCCGACTCGTGTGAAACCGCTCTGGGATAAAAGCGCCGTATAAAGCAACACCGTAGCCAATATCTACGGAGATTCAGGAGGGGAAAAGTGAACAAACGATTCTGGTCACGTATCAAAAAGCAGAGTGGACGAATTTTGGGGTGCGGAGCGAAGAAAATGAACAAGGGTTAGTCTCGTGTCTGGATTAGCTTTCGGAGCGGAACGAATTAATACTATATCGCACGTTGGATAAAGCCGCGCACATTTCCACGTGCCAGCGGCGGTCGCGTGAGAAGCTCGGCGTACGGCCATAGTTTTATAAAGCCACCGCAAGAAACTAAAAAAAGAGTTGTCTTATACTTCTCCATGGTTTATGTCTATGTTTATGTAATAACTTTTTATAATTACATTAAATGTATAATAGCATGTGCGTGATTAAGATTTTCAGAGAAAGTATCCACAAGTTATGAGATTATCGAGTTTGACCCCTTCAAAATGGAAGTTGACGAAGCAACAACTTTTCCTTCCTCCATGTCAGATAAATGTAGCCCTGTCTCTACCGCTTTTTAAGATTGTGGAAAGGTATATAGCGCGAACAATTATAGGTAGCTATTCTCGTCGCAGATGTCGATAAATCAGTCAAACATTTCGGCCTGGGACGCGAATAGCGTAAGCTCGAAATGATCCGCTCTGTCCTACTCACCAATTTAACAAACCAAAGTGAGATTGTTTAAACTTATGACGAAAGTAGCTGAATTTCTGCGGGGTTAAAAATAATCGGCGTGCCCTGTATTCTCGAATGGGTGGCATTTCTGACGGATCACTTGAGTCAGGCGCGCACAGAAAAAGAGGCAGATAAAACAGATAAATAGGTAGACAGAGATAGAGAGTGAGACAGAAAGAAGGGCGAAAGAAACAGAATCTTATAAAAATATTATCGAACGGGTATGCTATTTTGGGCTCTTCCATCAGCCGCATCACACAGAACGTTGGATATATCGGGAGATCCTCCAGGCTTCTCGGTTCCTGGTGAATCCTAAAGCGGTTGAGTTATCTTGAGTTTACGTACATACACCCCGCCGCCGCCGCCGCCTCTTCGTGCTATCCTCAGAAACTTATGGAAGCCATGCCAGAATTTGTGGAACAACCACTTTACTCCGGGAATCACTACGTCGCTGTAGTATCGGGTAGCGTTTGCAATTTATCGCAATATCCGGAAGTTTTCGCGAAAATTTTCCGCCGCGCCGCTGCATCATCTTCCGCACGCACCCGCGCCCGTATCAATTTACCATAATTTAATTACGATAAAACGCTTAACTACGCGCGCAATTAGTCTCATTAAGGATGTTGGGCAAAATGAAATATCACGTTTCCACGTAACCAAAGATCTTCCCCGAATCCGTCCCCATTCCCCAAGATC